ATTTCATGACGGCTCGAGTTTTAAATTGGCGTCAAGCTCGGTGGAATATGTCGCTATCTAGATTCGATTTTGTTATCACTTATCGACCTGGAAGGCAGCAAGGACTATCCGATGCTTTATCAAGGAGATCGTATCTTGCACCAAAAGCTGGAGAAGTAGCGTTTGATCAACAATGTACAACGTTATTGAAGCCAGAGAGATTTCAACTTTGTGCTACTATTGTATCATTTGATGCTGACTTCCTAAACCAGGTACATGCTATGACCATTAAAGATTCAGTAGCCATTGATATCAAGCAACATACCAATGACGACAAGTTCAAGGTGGAGGGAGATCTTTTATACTTTGAAGAGCGATTGTACATTCCAAAAGAACTAGCACGACTCCGAGTTCTTCAATCTCGCCATGATTTTTCAGCTGCGGGACATTTTGGATTCAATAAGACCTTGGAGCTTATTTCTCGAGATTTTTGGTGGCCCCAAATGTGGAAGGATGTGAAAGATTTTGTCCTCTCTTGTGACATCTGTTCAAGATCTAAGAATCCTCGGCATCGCCCTTTTGGACTTCTACAGCCATTGCCAATTCCACGTCGACCATGGTCTTCAATTTCTATGGACTTCATCACGGACTTGCCATCATCAAACTCATTTGACAGCATCTTTGTCGTAGTAGATCGGCTTACGAAGATGGCACACTTTGTTCCTTGTAAGAAGACATCGTCTAGTGAAGTCACAGCAAGACTCTTTCTCGATAATGTGTATCGATATCATGGACTACCAGATGATATCATATCAGATCGAGGTACCCAATTCGTGTCAAAGTTTTGGAGATCTCTCTTTAAGATATTGAAAGTGGATATCAAGCTTTCTTCAGCTTTTCATCCTCAAACTGATGGCCAAACGGAACGGGTGAACCAAGTCTTGGAGCAGTACTTACGATGCAGCATCAACTATCAGCAAGACGATTGGACTGCATATCTATCACTAGCCGAGTTTGCATATAACAACACCCTCCATGCGTCGATTCAACAAACACCATTCTTTTTCAACTATGGGTATCATCCGAAGCTTGATTTATTGAGTCCGTCAACAAATTTCAATCCAGCAGCTGAAGGATTTGCGAAGCAACTATCAGAGCTTCAAACTATATTGAAGCTTCAATTACAATCCGCTCAAGAATCCTATAAGATGTCTGCAGATAGATTTCGGAATCCAGCACCTACTTTTAAAGTTGGAGACAAAGCCTGGCTTCTTCGACGAAATATCAAGACCAAGCGACCATGTGATAAGTTGGACTATCGAAGATTGGGACCATTTATCATCCAGAAGCAAATTAATCCAGTGGCATACCGGCTGGAGTTACCGGCTTCTATGAAGGTACATCCAGTCTTTCATGTTTCTCTGTTGGAACCTTATCGAGAGTCATCTTTTCCTGGAAGAGTGCAATGTCCGCCACCTAGTATTGAAATCGAGAACCACGAAGAATACGAGATTGAAAAGGTATTGGATTCACGGCGAAGGTGGGAAAAGTTAGAATAACTTGTTCATTGGTGCGGCTATGACATTAATGAGCGAACGTGGGAGCCAGCTGAAAATCTTGCGAATGCGCCACAAAAGGTACAGGAGTTTCATCAACGACATCCCGATAAACCTAAATCAATTCGATGATAGCTTCTTTCTGAAGCTTGTTCTCCCAACAATATAAGAAAAGGGGAGAGCACTAGCAAAATTCATAGTTGATGTAGTTATTTTCTCCAAGATAGATCGTAGTTTGGTCTTTTGATATGGATAGCCAAGAGATAGATACTATGCCAGTCAGAGTATCGCAACCGAGTAGCTCACGAAGGCGACCCCGAGATGAAGAACTACATGTACCACGACGACGACGGAGGATACCGAGTAACCGATCACTGGTGATCGTATTTGAGATTGAGCCTGCTTACGATGGTCAACCAGAAGGCGTGTTTGTAGGACAATTTCACAATGAGGATACGGAAGTTCATGCTTGGTCAAAAGTCGGAGGCGTGGGCCACTACCGTTGGCTTCAAGGGCCGATGAACCACTTGCCTCGTGAACAACAGTTGGAGTTCATAGCAGAAGTTATGCGACAGATCTTCATTTTCTTGCGTTGGTATTTATCAACAACATTGCTTCTCAGAGACCTCGAAGCTAAAGGAGGGGATGATGTTAGGGACATGTTCCTTAGAACTTTCTAGAGAGAGGTTTCTAGAACCTTCTAGAAAACAAGCCTCTGGAACCTTCTAGAAGAGAAGCCTCTGGAACCTTTTAGAGAGAAGTTTCTAGAAGCTTCTAGAAAGGAAGTCTCTGGAACCTTCTAGAAGAGAAGTTTCTAGAAGCTTCTAGAAAGGAATCCCCTGGAACTTTCTAGAAGCTTCCTAGTTAATAAAAGTAGCTCGAGAAGTTTCTAGAAGCTTCTAGAAAGGAAGCCTCTGGAACCTTCTAGAAGCTTCTTAGTTAATAGAAGTAGCTTGAGAAGCTTCCTAAGTAGGAGTATATATAGGGATCGAGGCTGAAGAGTTCTTCAGTCTCGACAACACATCTCTTGGAGTTCTAGCTCACCTTTTTGGTGTTGTTCTTGTACTCATCTGTTTAATCTAGTTCTGCCACTTCTTCTTGAACTTCTTGTTAGATTTCAAGTCTATATTTTGTGTCCGTGACATCAGCAAGGTTGCATACAAAGAGAGTATGGAATAAGATATATCTCACTTCCAATATCCATTACTTATAGATAGTGGTTGCTGCCCTACAAGACATTTTCTACTCTGTGATTTTTACACACATGATCTTAGGATCCTTTTGGCATCTCACAAGGCTCGAGGGTATCCTATAACACACTAATGACTCATATCTAATCTTTGGATATTCCCTTATTAATACTTTATCTTTTTGACTTTGATTCTTGGTCCATGACTTCATCCTATATCCATTGGATGTCCTTACCATATACCAAGAGTCAAACCTTTGACCACTAGCAACTTACTTAAGTTAATATCTTCTATAAAGTAACTTATTTTACTTTTACTTTAATACACATGGATCATTTTTTTTATTTTTTTTATTTCTATTTTTTTTTTGTAATTCTATGATTGAATGCAACTCAAAATGCAATTGAAACCTCATTTTTTTTCCTATAACTAAGTGTGATTGAAGGTGAAGTTCAATAATTTAGAAAGAAGCAGGCATAGGAAGTTCATAGAACTTATTTTTTTTCTCTAATTTTATGATTGAATGCAATTAAAAATGTAATTGAAGCTATATTTTTTTTCTATGATTGAATGCAACTAAAAGTGAAATTCAATAATTCAGAGAAAAGTGGGCAATCAAATACCAACAAGATAAGGTGCAAACTGTAAAGGGCAATAGAATTTTTCCAAGTGCATGTTTAACCTTGATCTGTGGCTTTGTCAATGAGAAAATAAATGGCAATAAGGCATGGCCCAATGCTTAGGCTATTGTGTGTTGCATTATTTCTAGCTCAATGGAGTTAGAAATTGGTTAATTATGCTAGATGATTACTTATTTTTGATGTTATATTTGGATGCAAGGTAAAAAAAAAAAAAAAAAAAAAAAAAAAAAAAAAGTGCTAATAAACAACATTTGGAGTCAGGTGGATATTTGACATGAGTGTGGAGGTTGTTTGTTGCAACTATTAATCATGCATTTCCTCATGTGACAGGGCTAGAAATACTATCTCAAGTCATGGAAAATTTCATTTTGCAACCATTCTGGTTCAAATCAAATTCTGATATAAACATGGTAGATTGAATTGTCTATTACCAATTCATTTCATCACACTTTTAACAATGCTTTAAATGAGGTAAAACTTTGTCTATGTTATTGTCAATAATATTGTAATGAAGAATATTGTATTAAGAACATTAATTATTATCAATAACATTATATTATCATAGCAATCAACAACACATAGAGTTCACAGGGCTTATTTTTTTTCCTTGCAAGTGAATGCAATTGAAGGTGAAAGTGTGATTGAATGCAAGCCGCAAGTTGTGAGAAAGGAGATGCGATAGGCATATTACATAATAAGAATACAATTTTATTCTAATTTATTCAAAAAGGATTATTTTTCAAGCTCAAGCAAATTGTGTATTGCATCTTCGATCGATTTATAATGAAGATAGAGAATCAATATTTCTTGCTATATCATCTTTGTTGCTACAGACTTTGCATCCTATATTGATGTAACCTTATTGTTGAATCACATTGACCTAGTTCCATGACAATGATACGGATTCATCTTGCAATGGAGTTATAACAACATTATATTATCATAGCAACCAATGACACATGGAGTTCATAGGGCTCATTTTTTTTTTTTTTTTTTTGTAATTCAATGCAATTAAAGGTGAATTCATGATTGAATGCAAAGCATGAGCTGTGAGAGAGGAAGGGCGATAGGCATAATAAAAAAAATTGAACAATCAAACACTAGTAAGATGAGGCATGAATTGTAAGGGGCGATGGAATTTTGCCAGATTCATGTTTGACCTTTATTAACATGCAACACACAACATCCAACATGGATAATGTAATTTAATGGTTTTTTTATATTTTCACAAGTAGTTCTTTGAACAAAATTAATTACTTTTTTTGCATATTGTTAGTGACAATGGCATGAGTTTATCTATCCTACTTTACTACTTTACTTTATATCCTACTTTACTACTTTACTTTTACTTTATAGCTGAAAGCTCTAATGTGTATTTTATTTCTTTCTATTTATATTATATTTGTATTTGAAAAATATTCTGTGGCTCAAATGCTTCATTTGAGTCACACTTTCAGTGACAACTACATAAATTCATCTCGTATACACACACAGAGAGAGCATGAAGCGGGTAAGAGCGTGGGAGGAGGGAGACGAGCATGGAAACAAACCAACAACGGGGTCAGGGCATGAGGCGCCATGAGGGGAAAAGGGGAGGGAGAAGGGAGCGCGCAGTCTCTGTTTATCATGTCCGACTCTTTTGTTTTGTTAGCCGATGACGATGAAGTCTTTTCGACGTTGTAATGTTTGCTGATAGCGTCATAATATGGTGCAGGAGGTTTCGTGCTGCGGGACAGGCTTCTGGGGGTACATAATTGTGTGCTTCTTGTTGGTCATCTTCGCAGGATTGATGTCGGGCCTCACATTGGGACTCATGTCCTTGGGCATTATGGACCTCGAAGTGCTCATCAAGTCTGGGAGTCCTACAGACAAGATTCATGCAGGTTTGAGGTCGCTCTTAAGTAGTTCCAAGTTCTGAAAAAATTTCCAGGTTTTGGTGGATTGATCTGTCGTCTTTTTGGAAGAAAGAAAAAAAATACAAGTATGAATGAATTGGTCGAATTTTCTCGGGGTCTCAGAGATTCTGATGGAATTTTAATTTGCATCATTCATGAGTCCCAACCCTAGACTATACTTTACGTTCATGAACACGGAGCATCGTCGTTGTAGTATATATGAGTTGGCAAAATGAGAAACAACTCGGCAGATACTAAAGTCTGGGAATTGATAATCGTGAGTGCTTACCCAAAACCCCATAAGGTCAAGGTTAATTGCATAGATAGCAGACAGATAACGTGCTATTCTATATAGGATTTTTTGACTTTCTTGTGTGCAGAAAAGATACTCCCTGTGGTGAAGAACCAGCACTTGCTGCTCTGCACTCTACTTGTAGGCAACGCAATGGCAATGGAGGTTAAAATTTCTTTTGAGCACACATTGTTTTGACCATTCATACTAACCTTCGAGATGTCATGGCAGATTTACATCAAGAGGTTTATATTTTGATCTTCACTCAAACTTCAGAGTGACGAGCCTTCTGAAGCATATTCCTATGTATCTAATTGTGATGTACTGGTCCAAGGGCAGCTTTCTTGTTGAATTTTGTTGTTTAGCATATAATTAGATGCGTGACCTTTAATAATCCAAAACCTTGCAACTCAAATTCCGGAATTGATGTGTTCGAGTCTGAAGATCTGAGCAAAGCTCGCTCCATCTGTTCGTATAAGATATCATGCAAATCTCATATGTCCTTGGCATTGTTGTGTGTAGGCACTACCCATTTTTCTGGACTCCTTGGTTTCAGCGTGGGGTGCGATTCTCATTTCCGTGACTTTGATCTTGATGTTCGGAGAGGTAAAGCTGACACGCAATCTTTTCCCTGCAAATACACCTATTAATATTTTTACTTTTCATGTAAGGTGCGAGAAGGCGGTTTTTTATCATGCTTTTCGACTTCTCTTCGAGTACGAGTGAGTGCATGTATATGCGATGGTGGTGTGAGGAGAGCTTGGTATACACCAGCTATAATGTTAGCATAATACACCCGGTTAATTCATGCCTCGTGGTTTTCAAGGGACATCTTTGATGACTTTATGTTACAGATAATTCCTCAGGCAGTATGTTCGCAACATGGGCTGGCAATAGGCGCAGCTATGGCACCTGTAGTCCGGGTGCTTGTAGCTCTTTTCTTCCCAATCACTTATCCCATTAGTAAGGTATGGCTAGTATGATTTCTTGGACGTCAGATAGTTATTTATTGATAAAAAAAAATTGTGCGACTGGATATTTTTCACAAGACTTTAAACCTGTAGTCAATTCACAATTCAGTTATATTTTAGGTACAAGGTTTTGGCTCGCTTTCTGATGTTGCATTATGGGATCTCTAATGCTACTGGTGCAGCTCTTGGATAAGATTCTAGGTCCCGGAGAAACGGCTCTATTCCGGCGTGCTGAGCTCAAAACTTATGTTGCATTTCATGGAAATGAGGTCTGCAAAATTTGGGAGAGTATTGATCATGTGCACAGTCCTTGTCGTCGGTAGGTATGTGTATCCATCATGTTACAAAATTAACCAGCCATTTGACACTGCATGATTTTCATCATGACAGGCTGGTAAAGGTGGAGAGTTGACGCATGACGAGACAACAATAATCGCTGGAGCTCTTGAAATGTCTGCAAAGACTGCAGTTCAAGCGATGACACCAATCAGCTCAGTATTTTCTTTGGATGTGAATGCAAAGCTTGATCTGTGAGTTGATGATTGTACCTTGGCTCAATGTCGTATTTGTTGCTTAATTGGGGCCAGACGACGACACCGGAAGTCCCCTGATAATTCGTTGTCTCATAGCTGCACACCTGAGAACGCAAAGCGTGAAAAACACCAAGATTTCCATTAAAAACACTCCATTGCGTCTTTCTCTGGTATATCGCATTGCTGTTGGAGACTGACAGGTGTTTTTCTCCATGTTTCAGAGAAAATATGAACCTAATTATGGCAAGAGGACACAGTCGAATACCTGTGTACTCTGGAAAACCTAATCATATCATTGGTCTTGTTCTGGTATGATTTGTTTCTCCAGATTCTAATTATGTTCCATGGCACACACAAATTATATTCTATTGTGTTGAATATAAGGGCGTTCTATCTGACTATTCACAAATTCTAGTAAGCCAATGTACCGACCGTAAGTAAAGCATGGTATCATTTCGTAGCACAAAAATGGACTTTTGAAACGTTCTTAAGCGTGTATGGTTACGTTTGATGCTACCATTATCTGGTCTTTGGCTTTCGTATTAGTCCGGAATTTTAAATGCTTTCACCAAACACAGAACATGTAGAGTTATTTCCCAGATTTTGACAGCATACATTTTGTTCGCTCAACTGCAGAAGGGCTGAACTACAGTTTGAAGGTACGTGAGGCTGACAGCAGAGTCCTCATGTCTCTTCTCAGGTAAAGAATCTGCTGGCTATCAGACCGCAAGACGAGACGTCCGTAAAAAATTGCACGATTCGAAAATTGCCTCGGTAATTTGATGAGTAAAGCATCCGCTCTTATAACTACGGTCACTATTGGTTCCTTTTGTAACCTCGGCACTCCTAATCTCCACTAAATGTTGATTAGTTGTCTTTGTGTGCTGTTGACGAATAAGCTTGTGTTGGGTAATCGAAATTCTCAAATTGAGGGTAAAATCTGGTGAACAGGGTAGGTGAAGAAATGCCTCTGTATGACATCCTGAATGAATTCCAGAAGGGTCACAGCCACATGGCCGTTGTTGTGAAGTACAAGGAAAAGTCGAAGTATCTGAAAAATGAATGCGAATTGAAACTGGATCGTAAGAAGGTCAAAACTCCAAGCTCTCCTCAGCAACAGAACTCCAAGGGTAAGAAGCTAGAATCATCTTTGCATCACAAACATCCACGCCTCAGCATCATACTCTCTGGATAGTCAAGGATGGGTGTAGAAGCTGATTCATATGATTCAGAAGTAAATCTGGAACTACAACCACTTCAGAGGTTGTCTTGCTCATGAATGAACAGTTTAGTTTGTCCTCATTTTAATACCTGCAGTAAACAATTTCTGCTCATTTCAAAGATACTACTTTAGTAATTCGTCTCAAAAAAAATTGAATTTTTTTCGCTGGTTTAACACAGCGCTACCAGCATACAAATATTTGGCACTCGACATGCCTGAAGGGTACAGAACAAGTAACAGTGGCGAGTTCAAATATGGAGAGAATCAAGGGGGAACAGTTGTAACCGCTGCTCGTGCAAAATCACTTCAAGGTATGGATGAGCTGCAGTATCAGCGGAGCAAGAAGTGGGAACGATCACCCGACAATGTGTTGGACATCGAAAAGACAGCGGCCATCCACAGCTTCTCCTCTGATGAAGAGGTGACTGGTCTCATCACCATGGAAGATGTCATCGAGGAGCTTCTTCAGGTCGGACCAATCTATTTCACCCTGCAAAGTCAGTCTCTTGTAGCAGTTGATTGTGGAAGGATTGTCGATGATAGCTCACATTGTGCACACAATTTTTGACGACATAACATATCGATGACTTTAAAAACAGTCATTGCTGGAACAGCTCCCTAAACCTCTTCCTGGATTTCTCTATTAATATTTTTCTTCCTCAGCAAGTTTGCCTCGTCTGCTTTGTGGCAGGAAGAAATTCTAGACGAGACGGACGAGTATATCGATGTTCATGCCAGGTAAATTTATCTCCATCACCGCAGTGTTAGGATTGATATTATGTGGGACCTCACGTTCAACGTCCAGAGATTATCTTGCATTTCAATCTCCCATGTTCTATGAAAGTCTTTCGTGACGATGCCTTGAAGCAAGCAAATTATTGATTCTATTAGTGAATCTACTCTTGCTTAGTTTCATTAAAGCATGTTACTTATCATTATCAATGGTTTTAGTAATTTATGAATATTCAGGATTAAGGTGAACCTGTTGCCACCAGAGGGAAAAGACGCCCTGTTACAATGATCCTAAATTCCCAATTGCAACTGATATCACATCCTGAACCGACTTTCAACGAAGCAAAATCAAGCTTTGTGAGAGGACTACTGTTTTTGAAAACAGTCTGCTGGTAATGGATGAGAGTTACTTTTTAGGAATGTTTGCTGATTGTTTACCAGAAAATGCGAGGGACACATCAGCGAATTTCAATCTATAGAATCTCTCTAGACGATGAAAGTGGACATGACAATATACAAATTTGGTGTGCTGACTAGCAGAATTAGACAGTGTTGACTCCTTTTGACATCGATGATATATAACAAACCTTCTACGCCTTCCAATACCTTGAGAATGAGCAGTCTCGGAGCCGTATACAGCCACCAGGACTGTCTGCTGAGAGTATTAAAGGGCACTGGTTGAGAAGATAACGTTTTAGTGTCTACTTTACAAGATTTTGTGTTTATGAACTTGACGAGCTCTATCTCATAATCTAGACCCTCTTCATTAACTCCCCCGAAAATGTGTCTGCATCTACTAAACGTTGTTTACGACGTTCAGAGGCCTCTCTCATTCAATGACTATCTCACATCCACACACAATCTCTCAGGGAAAACACTACCCCACGGCCACTGGCACACCTATCAAGCGCCATCCTACACGGCCAAACAACACTTAATGACCATGGTCCATAGTTTTGTATGACCCAAAAACACCCCATCACCATGAGTGAATATTTAAAACATTGTCTTAATTTAAATGAATAATTAATCTGTGCTTCACAAGGTGGCTTCATGATTCGGAACTAGTTTCTGCAATGCAAAAGCTTTCAGTATGTGGAAATCAGAACTACAATTCTGCTTTGCTTTCATGAAACAATTGTGAAAATTTTGGACTTTGTTGAAGTTACTTATTTCTCTTTTTGAACAAATTTAATTGACATGCTTAACATTTTATGTATTTTGTAAATGAGATTGGATTGGTTCAATGCATGTGTTGACTAAAAACCTACCAACATCAGTTAGATTTCTTCTCATTTCAATTCATGCATAAAAATTTTGAATGCACAAGTTGTGAAGAACATGACTTAATTCAAACTAGGCTTTTTGCTGTACTTTTGCAAATACTAGAGGAATATGTAAAATCGGCATTAAAAGCCAAACTGTCAAAAGTTGTAAAGAATTACAAAAATAATAATAAAATAAAATAATAATAATAATAATAATAATAAAAGTACCTCAAAAAATATAGGATTAAAGAAATTTCAAGCATTCCCTAGAAGGTAAGAAAGGCAAGAGTCCGAGCCAAGCACACAGCATGGTCCACGTCGAAATACACTGTCACATGGGGTGTGCCACGTGGGAAAGAATGGCTTGGCATGGGAGTGCGACAGGCAGATGTAGGAAATAGCAGGGGACGCCATGCTGGATGCCACGCAGGACCCAGACCAAGCTGGTTTGCCTGCCTCTCTGCCTGCGTGTAGCCTCGTCACTACGTGCCTCTGAAACCTCCCAACTCCATCCATCGGCTGCCCCATCATGGTCCGTCGGATCTCAGCTGCCGCTCAGATTAAATCTTAACTGCCGATCCAATTCCTGGGAACGCCTGAGAACGGAGGGAGGGAGCGTATGAGAACCAACAGGGGGTGGCGGGGGGTGGGCAGGTTGGAGGGCTAAGAGCATGGCCACCGGTGGCACCAACACTCGCGCCATCAGGCACGCTCCCCCGCCCTCAAAAAACTCCCCCACCAAGGCCTGCTATAGGCCGGGGTGAGTGAGGGGCCGGGCGGATTTGGGCGTTTGACCGCCAGCCTGCCGTGGAAACGGCTTGGTGAGGCCAGGCCCGTCCTCGCCGTGGGGCCCAGACGGAGCCCTTGTGGGTCTGCCACGTGGCGCCGAGCCTTGCGGATACCGGCCTCCGCACTGTGGTACTTGATTGTATTACTGTTTACTTTAGAATACCAAAAGCTAAAAATAAATGACTCTACGCAATTTGTATGACTAACGTTTCAAACCTTTTCTCACAATGTAACAAAACACATGATGGGAAACATGTCAAGATTATGCTTGTGAGATTTTTCTATATTAAATTCCATAATTAGTAGGAGAAACAAACAAGTGTAGTTACCAGCAATCCTGTGAAATCAATGTGCTCATTCAAGTTAACAAACAAGTGTCGTTACCGACATGTTCCCCCCGTGCTCCCCCCCCTCGCGTTCCCGAGGATCCAAGTAAAGGTCAGGATTAAAGCTTGAGATCTGACGGCTGATATGTCTCGAGCCCGACGATTGAGTTGGGAGGTTTGAGAGACGCGTAGCAACGAGGAGTGGTGACGAGGCGAGGCTGCGTGCAGCGACGGTGCAGAGCAGTGCAATGGGAGCATGGCGCCATTCCTGCTCCCATGCCCGCTCTGCTTCTGCTGTTCCTTGCCATAATACTTCAGCTCTCTTCAATGCCCTTCCTTCCCTCTATATCATGAGTTTTATTGGGATGGCGAGGTGGTGGCGATGCTGGGGTCTGTAATGGCGTTTTCCTCTGAATCTTCTCGAACTTCTATTCTTCCCTTCTTGCCCAACTCCCACCCGTTTCCCTTGCCTCATGCCGCTTCTCTGTTTCCAATCTTCACCTCCTGCTACGGCCTCGGATCCTGCTCCGGTAGTAGTACTCTGGCCCCAGCTTCGGCATCTCGGCCCTCGCTCCGATGGTTTTCGTCTTCCTCCGGCTCCTCCAACACGCCGCCTGAGATGCGAGACGTCAAAGCGTACAAGCTGCCACCAGTGAACCCCCCCGACAAAGAGAACCCCGACGCCGTGACGCTCCGAGCGCAGTGGGACAACGCGGTGAGATTGTATGGGAGGATGTACTCGCATGCCTGGGGAACTGCGATTCTGGCAGGGGTTACGTTGTTTGGAATTGGCTGGTACGTCAAGGGCGAGAATCCCCTGAAGGCTTTGGACCCCACTGGAGAGATTAAGAAGAAAGAAACGGCCGATTAGGTTATTGTGCGTGTTGCATCCAGGTCTCGGATCCCTAAGGCCGGACATTATTCTCAGATCAGAACCCTAGAACTCTTATGAGTGTCCTCAAATTGTGAAGCCCAGATTATGCAATGCCTCGTGGCTTTACAAGATTTAGAGATAGAGCCGATCAGTTAGTGCTGACGCTTAAATTGGTTTTCGCAACTGTCCTTTCTTTTGCATGTTAGTTAATGGTAGCAAAAGGGTACCTTGGTTCAAGCCTCAGCGAAGAATTCAATCGTGTGTTATTGCTGACGGGGGCCAAGATATAAGAGCTTTTTAATGAACGGAATCGAACACATAGAAAGTATATCCTCAACAAAGACTAGGATAGTAGATGTAAATCTAGGCAGCAAATGTACACATGCGGCACTGAAATCTTTTTATGAAATCTCTTTGGTTTTTCATTGGTATTACGCATCTCTTTGTAAGCATATGGCCAATAGATATCTGTTACTTGAGGTGCGTTTACTTTGGTAGAAGCATTGTCGTCTTTTGAAGTGATTGCATCTTCTTCTGCTTCTGCTTCTTAATCAGCAGTCAGGGCGACCAACCTGCACATGCCGACAATCATTCAGTAGTTTCATATTTCTATGAAATATAGAATTTGGCAACAAAGTATATTGCAAGGAGTTTACGATGCTTTGAAGGAGATCCTAGACTCTGTTTTGAAGGACTAATGTTAGTCTGGCACTTCATGATCAACTGTAGAGGTGATGTTGCTTTTGGGGAGGGCGGGTATCATGCGAAGCTAACTGTAAGCTTGTGAGTTGCTTGTGATTGTACAGGGAAAGGGATGGCTCTATCCCACATTCTGCTAACTCACATGGTTCATAAGTAGGGAACTGAAACCAGGTCTTGAGATCACGTGATGTTCCTTTGATTATATTGTCACATGGCAATTTAAACCTGAAATTGATAGCCGCGGCACTGATTTGAGCTTCATGTACTGCATGCCTGCATGCCTGGAGGACAAGGATGGACGGTTTTACCAACTAACCGCTGTCACGTCCGTATCCTTCCCTTTCTCCTTTCATTGTGAAACAACTCTCTGTTACGCATGCTGCTCCTGGACTCCCTTGCAGTTTTATTAGGGGAGTCTTCTTCTGCTTTTCTCAATCATTTCCTTGGGGTTGCATCCACCTCAAATTTTGGATATCACTTAGTTCAAACGGTGAACCTTACAAGGATCAATAACCATTGTACATAGAACAGGTTATAATGTTGTCACTCTCTCAGTAGGTTGGTGGATTCAGAGCTGAATAAGCTCTTCATAATGGAGTGAACTCTTTGTGGTATTAATGGAAACACCAACCATCTTTAGCAATCTGCAACTCGACACCATGGCGAAGATGATCAAGTAAATTCATTTCTCTTTGTCGCTGCATGATGATGATTTTCGGCAGTAATGGTTGCTGCGATTGTATCCCAAGGATTCCTTACTGTTTGGCGGTCAAAATATTCGATTGTGAGGCTTTATCAGAAGTGTCACGTAGTTGAGTATTTTGAGAAATTCATCATGGATCCTTCAAGGGATCCCATGGCTTGAGTTGAAACCAGTAACTGTAACTTGTGTTGGTGAAGTGTAAGCTAATGCACAGATGTAGAATGGCTATCTCGTAGGTAATTAGTCGACGACGGAGTCTGATGGCAGCAAATTAATAGGAAAGCGGCACAGGCCCATCTCTTCGGCCGGAATGAAAATGCGACGTTCAAGACAGAGGAAGGGAAAATCAGGAAGCAAACAGGTAGGAACCTTGAATGTTTCTAGGGCGTCTTCTGGCCCTAGGTATGAAGTTTTCACGATCCCCACCCCAAGAGGTTATCTGTCCAAAGGAGCTTCTGAAAGTAATATGGAAACGAGCCTCACCGATCGAAAGAGGCCTGCCAGCAACCCAGAGCACGTAGGGGCGCCCACTTCGTTTGGGACTCCTCAGCATGTTGTCGTTGGGCAATGCTACAGTGATTGCTCTCATGATTCCCAGCGCTCCCTAGTACTTCTCAGCTTCAACCTGTCAAGTTTAAGAGTTCTGCTTTCTCCTGTTTTGCTAGTGCTTTTATTTCCGTTGTTGTCGGCACCGACTTCACTTTGCAATGCATCTGGTGTGAAACGTTTGTTTTATCGCCTTAGGGGTGATTTACCACTTTTTTTGGCCTTAGGATTCATAGAGATACTGTTCATCATTGACATTCATTAGAGTATCATTTCTGTGATGTCACATGGCTTCTAATCAGTGCAATTGCTGATTTTGTTGTATTTAAAATTAAAATTATCTTCTTTTTTCATCAGGATGGAGACGTGTGTTCTGCCAGACCTGGAGTGAAACACATTATGGTTAGATTGTCTGGCCTAATCCCCAGTCTATCTCCAGCTACCACTTCAGAAGTGCCTTTTTCCATCAATTGTGGCGGTATGAACCTTCCTTCTCTTTTGAAGTCCGCGATCCTGTGACTAATACTCTGCTTTAGGACATACCTCTTTTTTCATGGTCTTCTTTGTTAAATGGAGCTCATTCCTCTCCACTATTTATATAAATTTTATTTTTCTTTTTTTTTTGTTTTTGAATTTATAAATTTATGAATTTGGGCAAAGTCGTTGGTATTGACCGGTAATGACAGTATTGGTTAGTGACGACTAACAGGGCGAACAAAGATAATGGGGACAGAATCTGAACCTAATCAGCAGATGTTCACAGCTATGCAGAGCAATACCATATCAGGTTGCACATCAAACGAGAAAATTAATCATAATACGAATTGCACCCATTTAGAATTACAGTCTTCCTCTCAGAAAATGACTGTCACACCGACTGTTAGAATTCTTCACCAAGCTCTTCAAACCCCTGATGAGAGGGTTTTGATGGAGGAGATCGCAGAAACGCAGAAACATGATAGAGCTGGTGCAGCTGTCTGTAGAGACGAAACAGGTAATTTGTGATAACCAGTTGCATCTATTCTTTTTCTTCTCTTCAATTAAATGCCTCTTACATGGTACCTTGTAACGCACTATGTCCACTCATGTACTTTGTGTTTGAACATCTCAATCAAGTAATTGGAAATATTTGCTGCAGGTGGCTCTATTGCGAACCTTCCTCTACTTGACAAGAGTTGCTGTGCGCTGGATTCCAGTAACGCACAGGCTAGGAGTGGGTTTGTACAAATAGACCCTATTTCTCGTCCAACCAATTCCAACTGGCTCTATCCCGCAGTTTTTCCAATGAATTATCGACCTGTGAATGGTTGCCACGGATGTGGAGCCACCAGATTCGCCCCTCCCTGCATCTTCCAAAGAGATTTCCCGAGGTTATCTTTTATTTCTCCAAAACTCCTTTCATTGCAACAATTTTGTAATATGCTATGATAATTTCCTTCTCAGGTTCAATATCCTGAGTGTGGTTTTGGATCAGGGTTGTTCATTACTACGCAGAGCATCCGACACTTAGCCAAAAGAGCCTCCAACGGAACAGAGTTGAACCACCGGCCTGTTGTGAAGGACTTGATTTTGAAGGACTATCATCCGAATCAATCTATGCCCCCACAATGGAGCAAGACGAGGGGCATGTATATGGAGCTCAATACATAAACAGAGACGACGTGTTGATGTGTCCAGCTCCGTGGGTTTACGAAGGGAGATTTTTTCCAGGTACTCCTGCAATGGGAGTAAACTGGGTGTCAGATTGTATTAGTGAGGGCCAGCCAAGACAAAGCTCTAGCGAAAAGCTTGAAGAAAGCTACTCTCATAAAATACCAGACCCTGTGTATCTCTCAGCTCACTGCAACACTTGTAGTACCGACTATTCCCCTGATCTGGATGTCGATACGCAACGGCATCTTGAGGAGAAAATCGGTCACGAAATCTTGCTACTGAGTCAGAAGCTGGCGAATCTGCAGGCCCAATGTGGAACCCGGCGCCCCGTTCACAGCAACACCAAGCCTGCTGTTCTGAACCGCCCGCAAGCACCTCCCTTGGACGTCAATATGCGACGCACTCAAAGAGATCCCAAGAGCGCGAGTTCTCGCACTTCAAGCATTAGCCGAAGTATTAGATGTCAGGGCACAACCCAACCTCGGTCTGGAGCTTCTTCGTCCTCGAGGACCACTCGCAAGCAAGCTGCAGAGTCTAGGTTCAAGATCGAAGATAGATTGCTTGAAGGTGGTAGAATCAAGGGAGCTAATTCGTCCACCCCTGCGCAATCTTCAAGTAGAGGAAGCGACTCAGGGGCATCATCATCAACAGCCACTTTCAATGTTGATAAGAACCAGCCACATTCTCGAGATGGCTCTGGTGGCCATTCGTCCGAGAATAGCACAACTGGTCCACGAGGAAGCGCAATGCATTGCGGAGTTCATCAACATGGAGCAAATGAAGCTGTAGATTCTGTGCAAGGACGTGTGCAAAACTTCAGAGAGGATGGTGAAGATGGAGCAAGTAACAAAGCCAGATCCTTTTCGAGGGCTTACATGAAATGTGTACGAGGTAGAGGAGCTGCAGGAATTCATTTAGAGGAGTGCTCTTATTCGGATGATATGAAAGTGAATCTGAGGATTGGAGGAATGAATGTGCAAGGGCACCCAAACGGAAGCAAACAGTTTGATTGGGAGAAGTTCCGGTTCCAAGGGACTGCCGGTTTACGTGGGAATGAAGAATTCGTTGAGGCAATTGATTCTCGAATTCTACCTAAGTTGAACTCTCAGGTGGGGTTCGCAGAAGTACACGCTGAGACTTGGCTGTCGAATGGGGGGACTTCCATATCAGTAAGCAAATCGGCGCAACCTGGTGAAGGCAATTCTCCTGCGGAGCTTGCATGGACTTCAACAGATGGGAATGACAAACAGGAGTGCGAGAACAGAGGAAAGAGGCTGCCAGATCGTCGCATTGAGAACAGGCATGCTACGAGTGGCATGAGAGATGCAGATTCTCCCAAGGAAATATGCGGCTTGGACTCTAGAACAGCGCATCATTTGCTAAAGGCGGGATTGAGAAGAAAACCTTACTTTTGGAAGACACCGAGGTTAGGGCCCGTTCCGCGCATACTGAGGTTGAAGAAAAAGACGTTTGGAACTCGAAGTCCACGAAAGGATTGTGGGAAGCGGTTGCGTAGAAGGACGTTGTTCGACTTAAACCTAAACTTGAAGACAAATCTCATGAGTGCAGGTGCTGCGCTTGAAGAAGGTGATGATGAGAACTCAGACAGTGGAAGCCAACCATGGCAGCTGATGGAGGAGGAAACAGGAGGTTCTGAAGAGACGGTGGATGCGCAATGTCAGCGTGAGGTTGCTGATTACAAAGCTGAGTACGCGACGTTCGTAGAGAACACTGCCGTGAGGCTGCATAAGAATTCAGAAAACGAAGACTACACTTCAATTATCAACTTGCAAGCGTTAACGAGTGGTGCCCGTAGTAAAGTGAACGAATTGAAGCTCTCGGAAGCACCGTTAGTGTGGCTATCAAAACCTTCATCTCAACCAGCGAAGAAAACGTATATTAAATGTGTTGAGCTCGTAATGGCAATGAAGAAGAAGAACCGGCTCTGTAAGCTAAATGGACGCAAGGCTTTCGGAGATGGGTACTCTTACAGGAGGATGGATTGTTTGGTGGGGTCGAAGGATAACGATGGAATGGAAAAAGAGCTTCACAATAGGGCAGATGGTAATGGAGGTAAATTTGTTTAGAATCAAACCAAGATGGTTACTAATTCTGAGAATTGTCTTCAACCAATTGACGACTATAATTTTAATCAAATTGAAAAACATGAGAACCTTATTGATGGATTTGAAGTGGTTGCAGGTGGTGCTAGTCACAACACTGAGGGTGCTAATGAAGATCAAGTCATCAGGGAGCCAGTGGAACCGCCAGAAACTTGTTGCTGGGATACAGTTAACCGCAGAGACGTTAAGTTCTCGGGGTTTCAGAATTTTCCGAGCGCCACGACGTTAGCGGAGGCTCGAGAGATGAAACTATTTGAAGACTCCCTGTTGCAGTCTGCGGAGCAAGAGGAAGCTCATAGCTTGGCGATCAAGGGACACTCAGAAAACACGTACAACTTGGCTTTTATGACTAACTTGCACTGCGATGAAGGGATACCTCCTCCCTCGAATCCAGAGTCTTCTATTGTGGATCAAGTTTCAAGTCTGGCGTCGGTGCTTTCACGAGTGATGCCGAAGCAGATGGACAGCATGGAAGCTGAGCAGCTACGAGCTCGGTGGGAGGAGCTCATCGATGCTCTAGAGAAGGAAAGGCTTGGATTGCCTAAGATCAAAACAGGTGGTCGCAAGATAGGAGTGACGACGCGGACCAACAGTCCGAGAGACTCGGGAAGTGTGAAGCGAATTGCAGAGCAGATGAAGAGCTTCGGAGCTACCACTCTGAATCTGGAGAAAGAAGGTGTAAGCATAATCCAGAAAGAAAAAGACGGTCTTGAAGACGTGGGTATATCGAAAGAAAGGGCTCACTGGAACAAAGTTGAACAAAAACAAGCAGTTGTATTTTAGAGGTGTCATTAGTGATGAGTTTTTTGTCCACCATCTTCTGTGTTAAGTCTGTGTAGGTAGCTATTCGTTTGTTAAAATCTCAATTTTTGCAAGGAATCCTAATGTGAGTCGTTTAGAAGGGCTTACAGGCCGTTCTCATGCAGAGCAATGGAGGGATTGAGTGATCGTATTGTGCCAGAGAGGATCTAGATCTCTACTGCTTGAGGTCATTTCAGAAATTTTGGACTGCCCTACAATTCAAGCCCTCCACTTGTAAACGGCCTTAAGGCGTTCAAATTTTTAAGAGAGGATTTTCGCAGTAAACCAAGATTTGCCACGATGTCCCATTTGTACAATTTAGGTTGCTGCAACAGAAGCACTTAGCCCATATTTAGAATCAATAACTAAAGCTTGAAGAAACAATACCGCTTCGTCAAGCAATCACCAAAGTAAACTCAGAGAGTCCTCCCCAACCACTTGTTCTAATTTGTGCCAGCACGGCTTAGCCCATTGCAACTTCGCAATCCATTTGGCATTCTCATAAGATCGATTCAGCCAAAACCTTCGAAAACTGCCTGGAAGTCATTCTTCCAACACCTAATCCAATCGCCGTAGTGTATCCTACAATTAACATCAATCTGCACTGATTTTTATGTTCAAGAGAATCACTAAAAACATAAACATGTCAAAATCAGACACTGACCTGAAAGTTGATTGCATATGCTACTGCCACCTTTTACGACTGTTACAAACCTAAATTACATCAGGACTGCACAGCATGCATAAGAGAAGCTATATTTCCCACAACTGAATAGTACACAGGTTCCACCGTACTCAAAATCTACGCATGACGTCGCTTTTCTCTCTCTCTATTCACCCGATCCCTTTCCCTACCACTTCTGTCACGGTCTCTATCCTTCCTTCTATCTCTATCTTCTCTATCCTTACTGCTATATCTATCTCTGTCTCTTTCCTCTCTATCTCGCCCTCTGTCACTGTCACTATCCCGGTCACGGTCCCGATCGCGCTCTCGTTCTCTAGGCACTCTTTCTTTAACCCTCGGCAAACTTCTGCTACGGCTACGGCTGTGGGTCCTAGTTCGTTTCTTCGAAGATCTGGAATCTCTGGAATCTCTTCGGTCATCCCGTCTATTGTCTCGCCTATCCTTTCTGTCACCTGATGCTCTATCTGCAACCATAGCAAGGATTCAGATCATTGGTCACATTGTACAGCCAATAAAAACTGCCAATAGAGCTAAATATCATGATTAATGGGAGAAGCATTTTAAGAAAAAAATATTCTAAACAGCTGGCGAGGGAACTAAAGTGATCAATGCTTACCTGATGCCCCGGAATAACCACGATCTAACCCTGAATCAAGTCCTTTACTATCTCTTTCCCAACTAGGTAGAGCATTATTATCCAAGAGGCCATAATCTGCTTCTAATTTCTTCCTTTGAAGTGCAACCCTTGTCTCGATTTCCACATGATTCTTGATTCCACGCTCTTCTAGAGACTCTCGGTATTCAATTATTGCCACTTCCAGCTTACGCAGCTTTTGCCTGCATTTACTTGGAATCAGTTTCAGGAGACACTTCTTGACCATTGAAACATCTTCTATAACTAATGGCATTTGCGATGAACAAAACTAAGAGATCAACATAAAACAAGATATCTGCCACGCGTAATCCACTAGTTAGAAATATTCACTTTAGACAGACAAAACTTTAACATGCGTCACGCACCGTCTTTCTTCGTCCATACTGCTGTCTGCAACAACATACTCCAGTTTATCCTCTTTCGTATCAGTCTTAAATACGTCTTCACTCCCATCAGAGGAGTAACCTAACCCCAAGCCCTTACTATCTTTATCCTCATTGTCACTGCATCCATCCTCCCGAGTCCACTTGGATGCTGGAAGCACAGGTTCAGCCTTCTCCCCAAAAACCTTCTGACCAGTCATGGGGATGAGCGATATTGTAGGCGGCGCTACACTCGGAGTAGCTCCAGAGTGCTTGCTTGAATCCTTTGATCTAACATCATCTGTTTCAGAATGTGACCTAGGATGTGCAGCTGGGTTCTGATTACCTGTACTTCCAGTTTGATCAGCATTGTCATGAGCATTTCGTGATAACTTCTCAAAACGACTGACTTCACGCCATTTGCTTCCAAGATCGGTCCATGCTCCCCTACCCTCCTCGCCTCGCACTCTTGCTACACTGTCACTACTTTCCTTAGCTGTTGCTGTATTTGGTTTTAAGTAGCCTTGAGCTGCTCTAATCTCTTCTTCTTGCTCCCGATTCTTTTGCTTCTCAGCCTCTTCTAGGCTAAGCAAACGAGCTACCATAACCTCTATGCCCCCACGTATGGAGAGACCATTGTGTTTACATCGCCGTTCTAGTTCAGCCTGAGGTAGACTCGCAAGCTCACGCGCTGCAGCACCCTCTCCCATTGCCAGAGCTGCATCTGGATCTGCTACTCCACCAGATCCCTCAGGGAAATATCCACCTGCATCACGCATTTCTGATCCAGAACCATTCTCTTTCGAAGGTAGGTTGTCCCCACAAAGAGTGTGGAAGGGGGGAACCCCTGAGTTTCCTGGCCGTAGGAATGTTGCACGCAAGCCAGTAACAAAAGAATCTGAAAACAAGAACCAGTCTGCCCAAACTTGAAGAACTTTTAACACTCGCTCCTGCCGAATCCAAGTCATACGATACGCTCAATTTAGAAGAACCAAGAATCGAAACGAGGTTGACCACCTAAGTGAATCGTGTTTCATGGATAAGTTGAAGTGCATTAAATCAGGTAGTATATGATACAAGTACATCAAGCTGCTTGAATAGCTAGAGAGATCGTCCAATAAAATCTCTTGTTCATTTTCACCAGTTTTTACCTTCAAAGCCTCTGCAGTAATTCTTCCAGTGATATTCCGATAGAGATCGTTGAAACTCTCCATAATGTCTGGAAGTCGGGACTCAAATAATGTACGATATGCAGATGCATTTTTCACGGGAGCACTGCTGTTGTGCAGAACATCAGACACTAGCATGAGACGGGCCACTTTGCTTGGAATAGGAGTCTCTTTCAAGGTCAATGACTCAGTCAATACCTCCACCACCTGTCACAGGTAAACGAGCAAATAACAAATTCGAGCTTAGTTAATGTTCAAGTTTCTAGACGGCATAAGAGAAAATATTCACTTCGCCTAAAAAATAATATTTGTAAAAACAAATAGGTCAGAAAACTCCCTATCTCGGTAATAGGATTTACAAATGCGTGCATACAACACCAAATACAAAGCATCTAATAGACGTGCCGAAAATCCTTTACATCAGCAATACGACATTAACATAGACTTAAATTGCTGGATTACTAAAATACCAGTGTCCTAGCTATAACCCAGTAGCGTACCTCTCCGGCAGCTTCTGCATTGTCTAGAGCAAAACCCATCGCTTCTCGGATTTGACTTCTTTCTAGTGTCAATGCTCGCAACACATCCTCAAATTCATCACGTTGGCTGTCAGTTAATGCTCGCTCGTGATCTATTCTCTGGAAAAAATGAATCATGAAGGTTGAGATAAATGTGAGACGAATTCTCCCCAAAACGACACAAAAGTTAGTTGCGACTCGAATTGAAGTTTCCAAGGCGTTAAAAACCGAAGGCAACTTACTCGACCCCTTCCAGCAGCAAAGGTAGTAGCCGTAGTATTCTCACGCTTAGGACTTTTATTATAATCCTGGATTGGCAAAGCTGGAGGCATCCATCTGCAGGAAACAAGCGAAGAACCCGCATTTTTAAGACAATTGTTTTGCCACAAGATAGGTTTGAAAAGGGAACGCAACGAGCAATTATCAAGAGCAGTGACAGGTTCCGTAAACAATTCTTCAGAACACAGCAAAAAGCCTCTGAAGTGTTTGGATTTTCAGAACAAGACTTTCTAATCCATTTAAAATCTTCTGTCACACAGATGACAAGGACAAAAGTCCTCTGGACGAAGTAAGGACCTTCGGCTTCTACCAGTTGCATGTGATAACGAGCACGTGAAACAAAAAAGTTTCCTCATGTATATTCCAGATGATAAATGCCATCTGATGACAACAATAAAATATCCAGCAAGAAAAGCGAAAGGCCGACGTATGTTCTAGTCAGTTCACAACAAATGAGCTGATTGTCCATTGACACAGGGACATACGTCAATGGGCAAACATATAGTTGTTCTCATAGACTTATACTGATTTAAGCAGATTTTTAGGTGCACCGTCAAGTGCGGATAAGCTAAAATTGACTAAAACTTGGAAGTGATGAGCATAATCTAGATCAGCTTACAGACCGGACGTTTGAAACTGGGTAATACATGTCAGCTCAACGTTTTTCGCCTCTCAACCTAACAGCAATGATCTGAATGGTAGAAAATGTCTCACAAGCTATCAATATGCGCACTGTAAGATAAATATCAACCAGTAATGATCACATCTCTCCATCTGAGAAGGGAGATCAAGTCTCGTCCCATTACATAACGAGAGCCGTATGCGTCAAATTGAGGTAAAATTCTAATCGGACCAAAACCAGCAACAGCACTAATATTTGAATGCAGACATGAGCATATACATCCGTACTTACCGTCCACTCCCAGTTATCATGATGAAAGGCTCTGTCCGCCATCTTTGAAGCGTATCTCCCTACAATGCACCATTACAACCTCGTCAATCAGTTCATCCAGAACTCCCCACTAGGTGTACATCATCACTCTCTTCTTTTGGAATATTTAGAGTAACGGTCTGCAGCTCGAGAGAGCTAACAAAAAACTCCTTGTAATTTCTGTGAGATTACTAAGAGGGCAAAAGATCCTTCGGGACTGTGATCTTCTAAACAATGGATACTCTTTTTTAATGATTAGATCGGTGGTTGTGAAAAATTGATACTAGAAGTCTGCTGATACATCATAAAAACAAGCCTCTCCAAATCACTACTATAACTTGCAAAAGCTTGACTAGAGACGATACCTGTGCAAAAGAATAGAGCCGCCACAAATAGTAAGTGTGTTCACTTGATGTTAGGTCGAATAAGAAGCTGAAGAGCGGTTTACCTCTGCCCCTCTCCATGATAGCTTGCTCAAATGTACAACCATCGTCAAGAACGTACATAGCAGTTGTATCTATGACATGACGAAGATGTTGATCCTTTGGTGGTACCACTTGAATATCTGGCACATTTGGTGTGACAACCTGGTAGCAGAATCCAACCAGGCGATGTTAGAAACGAATATATATATATAGAAGTGAAGTCCTCCCTAAATAAAATAAAATAAAAAACACAAACGAGGATAAAAAAAACTCGCCAATTCCGCATTCTGGCCTGAGACGGATGAAATGGATGGGCCACCCGGTCCTGACCAGGCAACTGTGGAAGCAGTTGCACCCTGTAAAAGGATCAGCCATGTATTACAACCAAACAAAGGTACCTAGGTAAGCATTTTACTCGTATCTAAAGCATCACATGCTTGGCCAAGTACTTAAAAATTGCAACACCTCATACATACAATAAAGCAGATCAATACCGATGACTCCTACTTGGCCATACCTCCTTAGCTCGAACAGCCATTTGACCTGGCGGAGGAGCAGGAAGAGCTTGCGCAGGAAGAGACACAGACTTTCCCCAACCAATCCTCAGCTCATAATCGTACACAATTATCCCTGCATCATTGTTCTTCACATTAGCAATACAAAGGCATTCATGTCTATGTGGCAGTAATAAACACTCAGATTCTATGTACAGTTTGTACTACGCTTCAAAATTACACTGATCGGAAGAGTTAAAAGCACCTTGCATCTCATCTTTGGCTGCTTGCGCTTCATTGCGATTCATGAAAGCAACAAAACCACAATTTCGCTGCCGCCTGCGCTCTTCATCTGTCCTTGGCCACATGATTTTTACACTGGCGATAGGCCCAAATCGTCCAAAAGTTCTCAGAAGAAAGTTTTCATCAACCTGAACCACATTAGCTCCCCTCAGAATAGTAATATAGTCATTGAAGGCACATACTAGTCCCTGTACCAACCACCACTAAACAACACGCTACAAGAGGAGAGCATAACGACAATAAATCTACAATTGTTACACTTCACTTTAACGTGAGATAACGACATTAATAATAAAAACTGCTCAAGATGACATTTTAAAATGGAGGCACAGTTGACAATCACATCCAGTAAGCATGATATTAAGAGAAATTATTCCAAAAGATATCGTCAGGAAGACCTGCGGCGCCAAATTGCCCACGTATAAATTGGTAGTTTGTGGATCGCCCTCATCAAAAGATCCGAACTTATCATCGAGGTCACCAGCATCATCTAGTCCCATAATCATTTGATCAGCCTGCTGTCCTTGCAAAAAAAAACGATAGGAGAAAAATGGAGTAATCCAAAAGATTAGTTCAGATACACGCTTCTGAAGAAAACAATTTCCAACACCTTGTGCCCTGCATGACTCTGGTCAACGTTAACATCAATTATCGAACAATGTGGTACACAACTGAAGAGCGGGAAGTGGGAGCAGTTGCAAATCAGATGGCTGATTGTATGAACTTAATAATCAACCATACATACCACCTTGACTTCAAATATAAGAACGAAAACACTTTCTCGATCATTGCTGTCATCGTTTCTGAACCTAACACGTTGAGAAGTAAATGATCCATGAGAAAGGAGATTACTATTCCAGAACTCTGTGACCTCCTATCATTTCGGCGATTCTCACGCTCTGCAGTCCTCGTATCCCGAGCTTCTTGCTCACGTTTCAGCTCTTCCATGAAATGATGAATATTCCGAGATGTACCTCGATCTCTATCTTTGGGCTGCTCTTCATCCCTCTGATCCAACAACCAATAAGTGATTCAAACACAAAACACTTGCTATGGGCCCAAACCATACCTCCTAAGCAAGCTTGTCCAACGACAACCCTAAACCTACGTGAGCACGTAAAAACGGACAAGTCTGCGAATCTGGTACGCAACACTATAGAGAATAAAATGCACCCAAATGAAGATCCAATATATTTCTTCCACATCCAAAATACTGCTCAAATTTTGATTATTCACGACAACAAAAAGTAACTTATAAGAGAAAAGATCACCAGCAACTTTAATTGTCTACGGACTTGCTGAAATCAATGTGCAGAAATTGATGTCGCTCCACTTGAACAAAAATAACCAAATCACTTGAGTGACCATTTACATACCCTTTTCTCGGAGTCTTTATCTCTATTCACCATTGCCGCTAAGCCTGGAGGAATAAAAGAGGGAACATATCTGGATAAAAAGGAGGTAGTTCATTGTTATTAGTGGGATACTTCGGGACTCTGCTGGAAAATTGAGAACTGGGGGATTTCATGCAATAATTAGGGAGTAACTGAATATACAGAAATTATAATGCTGTCAGGCATAAACATAGTATGCAAAATCGTTGACCATGACCTTGGCAGATATGTTTTGCAATCCAAAAGCTAATGAAAGAGCACAGACCTGCTGCCAGGCTTCTTCGAAGCTGCAGATGTCGGCGTTGAATATTCTTGCTTGATGAGCGCCACTGCAGAAAGAATAGCAACCAGGGAACAAGCATCCGCCAGAAATCAGAAATTCTATTGGAAAGCCACTCAAAACGCCTTTTTTGGTTTCACAGGTTGCATACCAAAATATACACACAATTTCCAAATAGTAAATTTCAAGGGATAAATGACCCAATTGATCATAGCTAACCAAGGTTTGCAGCCACAGGTGTCAATGAAACCTTGAAAACTTACTTGGCGACGCGACTTCAGAACTGGGTAGTTTGGCATCAGGATTGATAGTCCCACCCCGCACAAACGCTTTTCCACCAGGAGCATCATCTGCTTTAAACGACTCCACGAACTCTTCATACAGACGTGCAGCTTCTTCATCAGCTCGCTAAAAGACATCTCCATTTCAACAACTGATAAGTAATCAGACGTGGTAAACCTTTAAAAGCTTCTGATGTTATATTGTTCGGGAAGTTCAAAGTCGATGCCTATTACTGTGTCAGGTAGTATTCTAATGTGTTGTCATAGAATACACAGTTTCGAAATCTCTGAAGGTGCTCACGCATAGGAATCTATCAAAGGCAGAGTATTTCAATCCACACGTTCATCAATCTTTACCCTTTTTTTAGCGTCTTCCTCTTCTCTGTGTTTTTGAAATGGCGTCTTCTTCCTAACCACTGAAAATGCTGCCATCTTATCTGCAGCCTTACCCTGGAGAGCAAATACATAGTGCCCACCGTTAGTCACTATCATTGGAATCAGAATTGCAAAAAGATAAACCTTAGACTTGTTCTTTACGACTGAGCTGCGATTCAAGCAAGAACCGCAGCAATCATCACTTTAAGCATCCGTGCCGACTCGTGGAAAAGGAGCGAAATTTTCTTATAATTCAAACTTCACTGTCGCAATATGAAGACTGCTACCTACAACATGACCTGATCACATTGAATCAGAGAGTCCAATGCCCTCGAACCTACATAGCAGATTTAATTACCGTCCCACTTTAATTGCATACTGCATAGTCCATGGGGAAGAGGAATGTGCCAAATAGTGCCACACCTTGACAAGAAATATAATTGATGAAAAGTCAACACAACTACGGAAGCAACAGTGACACTCAATATAGAGGACGGCTACACACTAGAAGACAAAATCCGCTAGTTATCCTCTTCGCTCAGGGATTAATCTAATAGCCCTGAGTCTTGAATTTATCTGTTGCCTAGAAATATGCTGGGAAGATCTAAACTAGGTCGATGAGTAAATCAAGAGGGAAAATTTCTGTCAGTTGGATTTCCAGGTATGCGACTAAAATAAAACTTCAAGTATCCACGCTAAGTCGATTACAAGAAAGAAAAATTTATCTTTAGGGAAAAACCGGACCAGATGCACGGCTAACGGACCTCTCCTAAAACAACACATAGACTGACCTAAAGCAGAGACAAACATTAAAGTGGGACGGTAATTCGTAGGAAAACTCTCACCACCGTCGAACTGAAGAATTTAGCATTGTCTAAAACAAACACGACGCAATCTTTCACAAGCAACGCCATCCACTTTCCACAAACCCTAGACCCGCGGACAAAACTCCCCTAGCACGAAGCAAATAATAAAAGAAACTCCGCACGTCAGTATTCCGCTCAAAAATCTCTATTACGTTTCTAAAAGAGCCCTTATCACCTCGTCACCAAAACTCCACTCACCCACCACCCTCAAAACTCAATCAATAACAATCCGCAGATCGCAGGTCGCCATGTTACATCAAATTCGCCAGTAACTACCAGAATTTCAACCAATCGCGATGAAAAAAATATCACGACTCCCGATCTCAGCTCCTCCGGAACTCAAGTACACTCATCCGAAACCATCCAACTTACATTCTCGGCATCACCGCGAGAAGTCATGGCTGCAACTGGCGCGTTGGAAGCAGAGAGGGCTGCGGCCACAAGAGAACTATACGGGGAGACGAAGACGACGGATAGTTGGCCTAACGACAAGACGAGTCCTCTCCATTCCTCAGCGCCGCAGGAAGGCACGCAGGCAGCAGCAGCAGCAGAGCCGAGAGCTGCAATTTCACGAACAAGCGGGCGAAACGAAGCGAAGGGAGCTCGCCCGTTCGCTAGCTCGGTGATGTTGTTGTTGTTGTGTGGGTGCAGCAGCAGCACTGTGCCCTGCTGTGCTGTGTTGGCGTTGGCGTTGTGGGATCCCGGTCCCCCTCCACTTCCCCGCTTCCCTTTCCCTTTCCCTTCTCCTCACAGGGTCATTCGTATGCCATTCTTCTCAATAAGTCCCTTTAACTATTAATTATCTTAAACAAATATCCAACTCATTTCCTAACCTTTTTATTTCATTTGTCCATCGTTGAAATCTGTTGATTGAGCTAGATGGCTTCTCTAAAATTTGTAGGCAACTTAATTACAAGTAACCTTTTTATTGAGTTGCCCTCGAAATATATTGGACTACTTCCCAAAGTACCAAGTTGCGCTCAAATTCAACAATTTGGTATCCAATGACAATCAAAATTGTCAACTTATTAGACACCCAACACATGTTCTTTTGCTAGGTACACTTTTCACAATCTATCTACTCTTGGAACAATTCAAGTATGTTGCTTATTCTTACTTTGGCTTAATTCTATTTTATTATTTAATTATTCTTGTATTAGTTTTTATTTCTTGGATGTAGTATATATTGTTTCTAAATTGAATCCCTCCATAGCAACATCATCACTACCAACATTAACACCTTAAATTCATTATAACTTGAAAGAAGATCTAAAATGTTTATAATTTAATTCTTTATTTATGATAATATGATATGATTTGATTATTTAGGGTTTTCTAATCAAAGTTTTATATTATATTAAATGACATGCAAGTTATTATATTACTATAGCTATGAATTAATGTAAACTTTCATACAAAAATTAATATGCATACAGATCATAGATTTATTAAAAAGAAGTTAATCACTCAAAAATTATAAAGACAAGATATCTTGGTTAATTTGATATTTATTAATTAATATTGTAGCCACATACTAGTGAAGTAATTCAATTTCATTGTGATTACACTAGTAAAAATAATAAGATTGCACATAGATGTTTGAATGTTCATTCCATTGAAAAAAAATATATATGTCTACATATTATTAAAAAAAAACTTAGAGATTAGACAACTTGTTGTTTTCAAATTAATCTTAGTACTAAAAAATTATATAAGATACATTAAAAAAAAACAAAAAAACAAAAAAAAACAAATCGACAATAAATAAGAAATATTTTAAAGTTGATATTTTGACTCTTTTACAAGTAAAACATTATAAAAATCAATTGAAAAGAAGTCAATGCTATAAATGTATTTATAAGTTTTAATTAATAAAAAATTAGAAGTCTATATTTAGTATTTTTTATAAAATAAAAAAATCAAATACATATACTCTATTTATTATTAAAATTGAAGCTTTAGGACAAAAAAAATCTTAAAATATAATAAAAGTGCATATATTTCTATAGTTTTTACATTTAGTATTAATAATCCTATTTATGATTAATTCACCTTCGTTATATTTAATGAGTAATATAATTACATATTAAAAGTATTGACAATTATTTCCCAATAAATAAATAAAAATATATATGATTTACTGTCACGGCCATAATCATGTAAGCTAATAATTACATATAGAAATAGATAGAAGTAAGTAAAAGTAGGTAAAAGTAAGTTAATTCTATAATATTTAATATGAAAGCTTCCTAGAAACTTCCTAGACGCTACTTTGACTTCATAGGTGTCTTTAATTGACTTTTTGGATTAGAAACGTGGTCAACAAGTTGGCCATGTGCCACACATGTTGTTAGCTTGAAGATCAAGCTAACTATGTGGCCCACACGTAGAAAAACTTGCCTTGTAAGTCAAGGCATGTGTCCTACAAAGTCAACACATATTGGAGGTCCTATAGAACATCGCCACGTATCTCCTAGTTAGAGAATATATATAGAGACAAGAGTGAAGGCTTCTTCACTCTTGTCAACTCCTTTCTTGCTTCTAGTCTAGTTTCAAGGGTCTCTAGTTTTCTTGTCTTTTGGCAATAGCCATTCCAGTTCCTCTTTCAATATATATACTTGTTTATATATATTTTGTTACCTCTCTTTGAGTGAAGGCTCACTTGTCTAAATTGTTTTTTTATCGAGTTCTTGTCCTTGACATTTACTATAGACTCTTAAAGTACTCGTAAGCATTCAACATCCAATATGATCACCATCTTGTTTTATTATAGACAATATATATATATATATATATATATATATATATATATTAAAACCCCAGTATATAAGTATTAATTTTAAAAAAATTAATGATTAACTATTTATTTATAAAATTATTGTCATTAAATAGTTTAAATACAAACAAATGTTTTAGTTTTAAATTATTTTTATATTCAATACACAAGTTTATGAGTATGTCCTTTATATATTAAGAAATAAAATTATAAATATAATAGAATATTGTGCAACCAAATATATAATAAAATATAAAATATAGTATAATGAATTATATTATGAAGAAAAAAAGGAGGAATATATGAAGCATATGAGATAAAAAAAAATATATAGAATACATAGTAAATATTTATAAAATATATTAGTTACATGCAATATGAAAATAGATTAATCTATTTTTGGATGGTAATATACCAAGTCTTTGTTAATCTAAATTTTCACAAAATTAATTAGTCTTCATATCACGATGGAATAATCATACCTTATCATCTACTTTTAGTGATGGTTGTACTTATTTTAAGAACATCAACAATAGTTTATTTTTTTTTTTGTTTATTTGTTTGTTGAGTCTCTTGTACTCATATCTTTATTGTTGTATAAAGTTCTATCTTTTACTTATGGAATCCTTTACCATTTGATTTTTAACTTTAAAAAAATTAAAAATATATAAGTGTGGATGATAACAATAATTAACAACAAATATATATATATATATATATATATATATATATATATATGTGTGTATAGAATAAAAGAATATATTTTATTGTTATATAAAACATTTGCTAATAGCAAAAGAGTTGTCCAACAGTCTTAGTGATAGTTAATAGTGCATTGAAAAAATTGCTTTCATGCTTGATTCACTTGTTCCATTTGTCCATTGGTTCAAGAACAAAAAGATAAAGGTAACTTAATATTAACTTTTAATATGTTGAAAAATGTTATTCAAAACTCAAATATATATATATATATATATATATATATATATATATATATATATATATATATATTTGGATATAAGATCAAATTTTATCGCTAAAAAAATATTTCTTTGAGATGAAAGTAGTTTCAATAATAAATTAGGTTTTTTCATTGGTTGTTTTATGAAAACATTTGATATACTAATTTACCTTGCACCAAATCTTTTTAAAACAGCCTGTCATGAATGCATGCTGAGAAATTTAGATAAGCTCTAATAAAACAACAGATTATTTATAATAAATCAAAAAAAATTTAAATGTAAAATAAAATTTTGACATGATATTAAATATATTATTTTTAATACTACTTTAAAAAAATTAAAATTAAATTAATTCCTTTTCTTTTAGAAAAAATATTACCAAATAAATATATAGATATACAATATTTATAAGTATTAAATTGTAATAATGATTTTTTTCTCAAATGTACTTTCAACTTGATATCAACTTATATTAATTTATTAATAATATATTTTCAATAGCTAGATGAACCCAAAAAAATTGTCATGAAATATTAAAAAAAAAAAAAAAAAAAAAAAAAAAAATCATCATATTACAAGTTATGAAATTTTTATAAGAATTATGGATCTAAGTATTTTAAATTTGAACTTAGTTTTTTTTAAATCATGTTTAAGTTTATTTCGGAAATTTCTAAAAACATGAGAAGCTTTAATATTATATTGTGCATTTTGGTAGATGTTAAAATGAAGTTAAAAAATGAGTCAAGAAGTAAGATGTGTGCATTACATCAACTCAAGTAGATTTTTTTGGATAATACTAACCTGAATAAAAAATCTCTTATTAATGGTAATAATAAACTAATAATAAGAAGAAAAGAACACAAAAAAAAAACAAAAACAAAAACAAAACAAACAAACAAGACTTATAATGTAGTCAATTTTAAAACAGGAATGATTTTTAATAATTTTTTAATTTATTAAACTCTAAAAAATAGTTCTCAGAAAAACGAAAAAAAGGAAAAAAAGAAAATAGATGTTGGTCATTTTATACAATCAGTTAAATATATGCAGATAGACATACTTCCAAACAATGAACTGATATAAATCAAACTATAGATACAATATGAGGTTGGTTTCTTTTCTAGGGCCACAATCTCAGTAAGTCCAAATTTAGGTAAGTCATTTTAACAATCATTCATTTTTTTGTCTACCAATAAGTATCTTTACTTCAAAAAATTAATCATCAGAAATAATCAAATAAAATATATATTTTACTAAATTAAATTCTTTTCACAAATAAAGCACACAAACAGAATTTTCCGTTTTATTCAGTTATATTTAAAACATTTTTATGATTTTTATTTTGATAATCACATATTTTGCAAATATTCACAATTAAACCGAGTTCTCTCTCTCTCTCTATACATATATATATGTACATATATACATACACTCACATATACAGAACTTAAAGTTTTTTTTATTTTAAATAGAAATAAATAAATATTTAGAATTTGGAATGGAGAATGATTTTTAGAAACTAATACATAAACCAAGTAACCATTCGAAAAGAGAAATAAATACACAAATAAAATATTTTAAGTTTTTTTGATCTTGTGAGTCATCAAGGAATAAAGGTGGTGAGGTATGTCTTATAAACTCAAGTACTTATGTCCATGACAAGAAATTTGTTCAGAGAAGAATACGGAATACCAAGTATTTAACGATTCTTGACGTACACATTTTAGTACCATCTTACACCTATTACTTCGAAATTTGGTACATTGCTTAGTGTAAAATATTCTGCTGTGTTGAACCGAAATGAGCTAACTATGCTACTACTGAAAATAATTCAAATTTGTACTAGGAATCCATCTTTTCTAAAGTTGCTCACATCTTGTTTTTCCATATTTGAACAGTAGAAGTCAGCCCTTCAGACATGGACATTGTGCTTTATCATTACATAATACAACAAGACCCTGTCCGTTTCTGGCAGCATAAGCTCAATACCATCTATTTTAAGAATATTTTGCATGTAAGGATTTAGAATCTAAAAATGACAAAGACTCTTGAGAGTATGAAAAAAACATCTCCTAAGTAAGACGCTTCATTACGTAATCTGACGTCCAGACAGGGTTCATCTGCAACTCACTGTGTCCATAAACACCACATCCATGTGCAAGGTACACACTGTAACCTTTGGCAACGAGGTGCAGTTTAGGCACATGAATTACAACATGCAGTCCACAATTGATCACCTCACGTTAGGAGGAACAAAATCACACGGAACTCGCTGCAACGATTCATGGAAGCTATCTTCTTTTTTTTTTTTTCTGTTAAGAACTATGGTCTATTGCAAATTCAGAACAAATATGCGCATATGATCATATAACCCTAAGCAATTTCCTGCCATGACTCTGCAGCTTCCAGACACTCAGAAGCTCATTAGTGCACTGAGGATGTCCTTCACCCTTGCAGTTCATTCAGCTGCAGTTTAGCATCACTTAATGAACTACAAGGCACCATGTTCACGCATCTACTTCTTCCCACCACTCTTTTTCAAACCAGCTCCACCAAAAGCACCCTTCCCCGCAGCCTTGGCCTTCAATTCCTTCAAGGCCTGTAAAAATACGTTTGTATAAGAAGATTGTAAACTGAAAACCAGTAACCAAAGAATAACAACATCAAGTTTTAAACTTCTCTGAGGGAGACTGCACTCGTCGAACATTTGATTCACATAGAAAAGCATCTATACAGTTTTAAACATAATCAATGTGACCACAACAGTAACAGCATAAACCCTCCAGACAAGCTCTGTACTCTCCTCTCAAGACGAACATTCATGTGGTAAATAAACTACAAACCCAAGCCTACACTGAGCATACTCAGATGGCACTCAATTAATCACCTTCTCTTCGTCTTTTTTCTTCTGGAGGTTTGCAAGGTCCGTCTGCACCAAAAAGATAACAGCTTCATGTCAAATGCTGATGAATTATAGAAAAATTCACCTTCAAATGCTAAACACTGCACCGAATTTACAAGGTTACATAATCACCTCTCAGCACGTTACACTCTGGTTTCCATGTGACCAGATTTCAAAAGGACATTTAAAATCGTCAGAATGTTTTACCTCATCATACTCTTTCTCCTTGCCCTTAGGAGCTTTCAAGGGCTTCAGCTTTCCACCTATACAAAGAAAGCTAAGTTAGAAAAGCCCTAAGTGCGGTCTGCTCTAAGAATCAAAACAAAGAGGTTATGTACCCGTGAGCCCTAATAACATTAGCTGGTGCAACACTCAGACCAAGCAATTGTCACCGACATCGACAACCACAAACACAGAGACCAGGAACTTTGGTCTCAAAATCTCCAACACAGAAGAATATATTTCGTGATACTATATATCGGTCCTCTTTCACAAGAAAACAAATGTTCCACCAAAACAAACCCGGAATCACCAAGACTCAGAAGCGGCGATTGCGATCTTACATCCCAAGGAAATAACCGCAAATTTGGGTACGAAATCAGAAAATTCTTGCACAGCCGAAAAATTAACTGCATACCTCCACAAGAACATGGATAAAACGCAAAAAAAAGAAAAAAAAGAAAAAAGAAAAAAGAAAAATGTGTTTCGCCAAGTACCGTGAGTGACATGGTCTAGCGATAAGTTTCCAATCAAACAAAAAAACAGAACGAAGATCCGCGATCTTCACCTCAAAGTAATTTGGAGATTAATCAAACGACCCATAAACATTCCCGAGGGTTTTATCGCCACAGTCACTATTAGTCGGCAAGGGTTGCTTTCAATTTCTTCTAAGGCAAACTGACGATCACAGCCGCCGCCGCCGGCAACAACAACAATAACAACATGAATATTCGCCACATTAAGCATACAAAGAAGAGTTGAAGCAGTCCTGTTGATGCATGACTAACCTTGTCTTCCCGACATGGCTGATGAACACTGAAACGTAGAAGCACAACCACAACAACAAACGCGAACAGAAAGAGTTAGAGCCGCAACAAACCACTGGCCAGCAGATGTGAGGTATATGTGTGCGAAGGAACTTCTCCACTTGGATGGAAAAACAGAATTCCAGCCATCGATTGAAACGCGTATCGGTGCCTGTCAGTGCCCTAGGGGCCTAGATTGTGACTCCCTATATTGTATATTCTTAGGGCGGGTCCTGCAACAGCGTTGTAATTACGGTTGTGCCGTCCCAGGATCGACTTTTACTTTGACATCGAATCTGGGTTGGTTCGGAATGCGTTTCACACCGACGGGTATGAGGGGGGGGGGGGGGTATAGTGACGAAAGGATGCGCATTGTGTGCGTGCTGGTTGCAGACGTTTCGAAAGTGAACTGGTTAGGGATCAATGGTTGCCTGGATGTGAAACTCGTGTTCGCAGCCATCTGTAAGGGCTGCAAGATAGATTGTAACTGAGGAGAGCTACGTGTCTGTGGGAGAAGATTTACGGGAACTAGAGTCAACAATCAGCTTTAGAGCGAGCGAGAGAGATAGATAGAGAGGGGAACCGCGTGGATTCCCACTCGCATCAATTCATCTCCAGGCTGTCCTGCTCACACCCTCGTCAGGCTACCACTCACTAACATTAAACCTGCCGACCCATCGTAAAATATAGACTTCGACGATTTCGGGTCGCCAGCACAGCAAAGTCAGCAGCCCTATCTTCTCTAAATGGTCGTAAGAAAACAGATGCGTGAGCAATTGCCATTCGATTCTTTGTCATTAGTCTTCTCCAGGGTTGGGAGTTTCCTCCCTGTTGCTTGCTTCCTAACTTGGGTCGCGGATGTGCTAGTTGTGGTGATCATTATGGCGATGCAATGAATTTGGACGTGGTGATTCGGAGCTCGACATTCCTGTTCCTCATTCTGGTGCAATCCCTGGGCCAATTTGGATCCAGTGGTGACTTCTTTTGGGTGTGATTGTGCAGTACTTTGGACCCCGTCTGCAAATCTTGTTCATTACTTCAATCGATTATGCCTTTTCTATTTGTAAACATCGGTGCTGGGAATTCTTTCCTGTGCTATTGCCGCCTTCTTAGTTTCTGTACAGAACTTCTTTCAGAGGAAGCTTATGTCCATTTTAGACCAGGGAAATTCACGAAAGTGCAGTGGTCCAAGCGGGTTCCAGAGTGTTGTCCTGATCATACTTGTGGTTATTTCTTTGCGGATCGCATGTGTGCCCTTAGGTTTATTTCCGTAAATTGACTGGTGTCTTCTTTGTCAGCCGCCCTAAGACTTTACAATCTAGGAAGTCACTATGCATGCTGATGAAGGTGCAAACTTATCATGTTCAAACAAGCTCGGCAATCACCAAGATGTTTCATGCTCGAGAACAGCAAAGTGGATCTCATTGCAGCCCAAACTCTCAGTTAACGTTCCTTGACTGAATATCATAAGAGACTTGCGGTCTACAATGTAAATTGCTTTTATTACCCAGCCTTGGGAACTTTGACTGCTTTCAGGAGTTGCATTATGACATTGAGCTTGTGTAAATAGCCAGTGCTCTAAAGGTGCCAACGCTAGACCTCTGCAGTAGTATATTCACGTCGCATGATTCTAGACCGAATCCACTCATTAATTTGGTGAAATACCGCCTGAGCTAACTCCGGTTTGAGGAAAGGAGAGCAAAGATGTAAATAGGAGCATTTGATTTGTTCCCAAAATGTGGCTGGAGTTTGATTATAGCTTCTACATCAGCTCACGATCCTTCCGAGGGCTACTCGTAACAGGATTGTCACCGATACGTCTACATCACGCGCTAAAGACATCGTACTACGAACACAATTTATGAGTTCATTTTCAATATTTGTAGAGGGGTAATTGTGAATGCACCATGAAATGCCGTGACGCATCAGCAGAAGCTGAATACAAGATGGAGGACGTCGAGGTGACCCCTACAGAAGAGGGTGAGGAGCTGGGGGTTCAACATTCTTTCGAATGTGATTTGGGAATTTGTGGAGGTCGGCAAAATGTGAATCATCTCCACAACCAGGAATGCAGTACCAGTAAGTGCACATCCTGGTTGCTAGTGAACTGAACAGTTCGTAGGCTACCAGTTAATTTTGAGGGATACGTAGTACACATTCGTCCCTCTCTCAGAATTGATCATGTGCAGTATTCACATAAATTAGGTTAGAGTTATTATTGGGCGTGTGCCTCGTTCCGACTTGGAGTCTTGAATACGATGTATTCAATAGTCTGATTTAATTCGTACTTTTGTTTATTCGTCTGTGTAGAAGTTTGCAGCCGCACAGCTGTGTGTCTCCAAGGGAATGATGGCTGTGCAGCAGAAGCTAGTGAGATGGACACTACAGCGAAGGTGCATCGCTCCCAGATAGGTGTTGGAGAAGACGATGCCTTGTCCGTAAAGAAAGACCATATTGAGTTGGGGAAATCTTTTCAGATGGCAGTAAGTGCACATGACTGGGCTCTAGCTGAGAGTTACATACCCCTGGCAGATCCTCAAAGGCTCAACGATGGCTTATGTATAGCCTTGGACTCCATTTGGTTTTTAAGGTGAGGTTCACATTGTGTAAGCCGAGCTAGTAGCAGCTTTCTTGTATTATTTAGTGATGCAAAGCCGTACCTCAAGAGCAGTGCTAGTTAAATGCATTTGTCTACCAGATTATATTTGCTTTTATGTCCCCATTACAGTTTTCTTTTTAGTTTCTAAACTGTAAATATGTTGAAACACTGCCTTACGTGACTGTAGTAAGTAATGCGAACCACAATCTGCGATGCAAACTAGGATTGAGGGATTGCATGGTCCAGATGAAGGACAGTAAGCAGAGCCGTTTGTGGATTATTTCCAGCACACCACAGGAATTGGCGGCCGCAACACGTTTGATTGAAAGGTTGAGTATTGCTGGAGCCCATGACTTCACACGGGCGGCGCTCCGTACTTCCTTTTTAGCTTCATGCGTATCAGCTTGTCGATCGCGGACTATGAGCCTGGCAGACACTGTTACTGTGATGGCTCAAAGGTATGCTTTTCAGCTCTGTATGTCCTTTTCAATGAGCCTAGCTTTATCTGTACAAATATGTCCAATGAATTCATCGACTCAACATCCCCTCTAAGTGCCATAGTTGGAGAAGTAAATCATGGTGTATCTGCTGAATAGGGAAGCTTAATTTTGTTGGTTTTACAGATTACGAGAGAGACTGCAGGAATGTAACGGCGATGAAATTTTGAAGGCGGAAGCTGCAGCTAAAGTCCAGAGATTCACTGAATGGGCTTTGAAATGTATTGGATCACATTCACGTGGAAAAGGAGCACAGCCTGGTTCACCCGGTGACATGGGCATGGAAATTATACACAGCTCAGCTGTAGAGTCACGTCTTCAGCTTATGGCTTTCAAGAGATTCTTGGAACTGGCAGGTTTTCGGCTGACGAGAAAAGATTATACAGAAGCTTTTGATGCAGCTTGCTTTCCTCTCACTTTATTCTCCAGTGCCATTGATCCTGGGTGGGCCACTGGTATAGCAGCAAGTGCTATGCAAGGGTTGCTTGGGCTTTTGGTTGAGGGTGGTGCAGACAATGTGAACCAATGCTTTTTGGAAGCCGCTAGGTTTGGAAGCACAGAGCTTGTACGAATATTGCTTCAGGTATCAATCAATACACTCTTATGGTTAGCTTTTTCGATTTCAGTTGTACATATATGTCTCTTGGATACGAAAATTTGATTGGAACAAGTATTGAAGCTGTTATAGAAGTGGTCTCTTGTATGTATGTGCAGATTGCACAAAGAAATCTTGTGGATTTAGACGTGGACTTGGCATTGGGATTTGCCTCCCATTACTGTAAAATTGGTACTATGGAGTGCCTGGTTGAGGATGGCAAAGCAGATTCTTTTTTGGGACCTCTTATGAGAGCTGCTGAGCGGGGTTGCATGGAGGTTGGTTTAGCAGTTATAACTTACTCAATGTGTATTGTGCTATTTTAAATTTGGCATTATTTTATGTTTCAATAAACATGATCGACCTTAATTTAATTGGTTGGGTGTGATACAGGTTGTCCGTTGGTTTGTAGAAAAGGGTTGTAAAGACATGGAATTGTGTTTAGCTCTCACTGCTGCAGCCTCAAGCAGCCGCCTGGAAGTTGCCGCTTTTCTCCTGAGTCACGTTCCTCATCATGTCTTGCAGACTCTTAGCGCCGAGATTCTTAAGGTATTGTTTCTAGATTCTTTCACTCCTGTTCTCACGCATATAATTCTAATTCTATGATGAATAGTTAAGTTCATAGCGGAGCTCAATGGTATTGAATAACAGGAATTATATTGTTTAGACTTTGAATTGCATCATTTGCTCGGAGTGCAGGCAGCAGGTGAACGGTCTGGTGGATCCCTTAAGGGCATAGCTTTTCTGTTGCAAGCTGATTTCTTGAACAACTCAGAGGCAACGTATAGTATAGCTGACAGCATTGCAAAATCAGAGGACGAAGCAATCACTGTGGAACTACGAACCTTTTTACTGGAGGAATGGTCGGAAGAGGCATTCCTGAAGGGCCGTCTACTTGGTCAAGCTCACCATCTCAATGTCATGCGTGCTCTGAAGAGGGGCTCCTCCCCTCTTCATCTGCAGGAGCTTCCGTTGCAACTGCAAGTTACTGTGGCTTATCTTCCCCTTTACAAAGAGTGTGTTGCTGCAAGTGGAGTGGTTCTCTCGCAGTGGCTGAGGGGCCAGCTTGTTGAAGCAGCTTTAAGGCTCAATCAAGGTAATCTACGCTCAACAGAGGAGGTGTTCCTGAAGTTAAGTAAGCACGAGCTTCTCTCAATTCTGGAGTCTCGATTGCCTGGGTTCTTACTAACTTCCGAAAGCTAGTGACGAATTATCAGCGTAGATTATCAATTATCGTATTTGTGCCTGGTATCTCTATTGTAATTAGAACCACGTTTGATCCTTGGAGTATTATCGTCATCACTTGTTCTTTGGACTCTCCTCGCAGTTGTTTAAGCTGTAATTGTCATGGAAAATATAGGAAACACCACGGCTCAGGAATCTTCATCAAGTAAAGTTTACTATTCTCTAGAGGCTGATGTTGGTTATGGTCCTTGTATTCATTGCTAACTGGATCAAGCTTTGATTTTGTTCCATCGTTGCGTTGTAAAGATACTAGATATGATGATTTTTGAAATGTTCAATTGGGCGAAGGAATATTCTATATCACAAGATATTCTTGCAGCTTGAGTTTCCTTAAACGACCAAAGCTGAAATGGAATAAGCTGGAGCGATGAAAATGAGGAGAGTACCCACCTCGCATTCTATTGGAGTTTATTTCATTTGCTTCAAATTGATTTAACTCTGGTGTCTTGCACGTGTTCGTCAAACTGCCGTGCATTGGAAAGGATAGCGCGTCCTTCCACTTGAATCTTTGAAACTCGAATTTTCTACTAAAATTTACAAATATCATCCACAAGATACACTTGCATTTCACAACACTGATACCAGCTAAGCTTTGGAAATTATTATCGAGTAGAGATGTTTTGAGCTCTCATCTGGTGGAGATGCCTTTGATTTGTGCTATCACCAAAGTGGACAAGCTTGAATTTTGCGTAATTGGACTCTTGATTCCACCAAGGAGTTTTTACAACTTTGTCCAAGTGGCATCTTGGCAATCAATTTTTTGCAGTATATTTCCTTCATTGTCCGATTGTTGAATTGCAGCTTCCAGTGTTTTTAGAGGACTGATATTCTATGACCTCTATTTTATTTTGAAACTGTAAGGTAGAATGCTGAGAAAGTAGACGATTGGCAAGCATTGGAACCAAATGTAGCTTGCAGTGGGAATTGACTGATGCGGACACACTACCCTCCAATTTCCACCAGCTGAAACTAATCACTTTGTTCTTAAAATTTCCCAAGTTGAATGAATGCTCTAGTAACAAACTCGTACTTAGATTAAAATATCAGCATTTGAATTAAGGTATGAAGGAATCTATCTTCCATGATCTGTTGTTTTTAAGTCAACACGCTGTTATGTTGAACAACGATCTACTTGAACTGAGACCTACTTGAGACTTTCAAAATGCATTTTCTAACAAACGCTCCAGTGAAGCAAAGAAAGTTTTACTGAAAAACTAAGTGACAACACACATTGTAGGGATTTTTATTTTCAATGTTGACTCAATAGCCATGAAATAAATTACCAAATGACTTAGTGGAGCTTAAAGTTGAAAGGCTAACTTTCTTCTAGATTATTAAGCTTTTAATATTCTTCAATATCTCATTTGGTATGTTAAAATTTTCTAATTTTAGAATTTTAAAACAAAGAGACACACTAATTGTGGGTGTCAAACTAGGATAATTCTATAGATGACATCTTTGAAAAAATTATTGTAGACTAATGAAAAAATAGAGATTCAAAGAGCAATTGGTGTCTTTGGTGGATGTGGATTTTGATTCTCTAGACTTTAAGAATATCTATATAAGTTTTTGGAATTTATTGATTAGAAGTTAGAAATAAAAGAAATGCTTATCTTTATAGAATTTTATCTTATTCACGTCTAAATTTTTGTCCAATGAGAACTAATTTTTATAGTAGGCATTAGAAAAAATAAATATTTGATATTAGTATACATTCAAATAAAAAATGTTGGCATGTCCAAAAATTTATAGTGCATCTCATTTAATGTAGTCCAAAAGAATGTAAATAAATAAAGCTAAAATAGTCAAATATTTTTAAAACCATATTTTATTGGTAATTAAGTCAATATAGAAAGTTGACTAAAATTATTTTTGTTACTAAAAATCAAACTTGTATTTGTTATAAAGCAATTTACTTTTTTTTACCATACAATGTGGCTTCTATGGTATATGATCTATCCATAAAACATTTGAACATTTATTTGCAAAAATAATTATATTTAAAATTTATCTCTAATAGATGATAATTTGTTAGAGAATATTAATTTGTAAGTTAAGTCTAAATTATTCTAAAAGATTTTTTTTTTCTATGGTTTCTATATTGGTATTATATCATCAATTTAGAGGCATATGTGTTTAGTTCATACTCCATTCGATCTAAATACAAATTCAATTATATATAATACCAATTTGTATTATGTGTAGCCCATTGCCTATAGATAGCAAGCAGATAGATGATTAGATAAAACAAAAATTGGTATAAATAATAGAAAATTACAAGTTGCATTCATTATTTACAAGAGAAGACTCACTCATTGGAGTTTGTGATAATGTTAGATGGGATTTGGATTTAATCCCAAAAAAATGCATGGTAGATGATTAATAATGTAAAATAAATGTTTTCTTTTGAATATTTGTCTTAAACATCTTCTCTTGCTATTTCTCCAAAGTATATATATATATATATATATATATTGAAGATTTTAATAAAAAAAATATACTTACAAATTACTTCAAAAAATATAAGTAAAATTTTTAAAATTAGTAAAAAAATAATTTGGTATTAATAATATCTTTTTGTAAAAAAGACTTTTACATACTTTGTAGGACAATAAATAAGACAAAATAAAGTAGATTAGAAAAATAATATTATAGGCATCTTTAAGTGAAATTATAAAGTATTTTTTAGCAAAAATTACATAAAAAACCTTAGATAATATCTAAAGAGGATTAATTGTGAACTAAGGTCAAAACCAAACCTTTAAGTACAAAATCATGCACCTATGGTAAATAGGAGCATCTTTATTTGATCAAAGAATAAGTTTGATGCACAAAAACTTGCATCTACAAAAAACATGGGATTTTTTATTTTTATTATTATTGATTTTTTGAAAGTGGAAATAGAGAGTAAATATAATAACATTTCTTTGAACATTGGTTTTGAGAGATTTGAGTAGATAATGCCGTTATGAGAGCTTTGCAAAACCAAACTTGTTTTAGGTGATTTTTTTTTTTTTTTTTTTTTTGTAGAATAAAAAATATGTTACATTTTAGTGCGTTATATGAGTTTTGTACAAGATCTATAAGTGAAATTATGTGAGTTTTTGAACATATTTATGTCAGATATTTTTTTTGTAAAATTAAGCTTAATCAAAGATTAATTATAAAATAATTGAAATTCAAGAAAGTTGAGGTCTTAAAAATTAGATTGTGAAGGTTATTAAGAATTACTATTATTTTCAGCAATTTTTTGTTTGGGTTGAAATTATTTTTTCTAATGCTAATAGTTAACAATGTTTCTAAAATTTATGCAAATTTTAAAAGCAAGTAAATAGTGAAAAAAGAGCTATAGATGCTAAAAGGTATATATCAATATTGAAGGAGGATAATTGCTTATTGATTGGATTAGGAGAATTATTTCTCAATTTATAGATTTAATTCTCTTCAATTTTTTGTGCTTGTTGTTAATTAGTAGATTGAGAAGTTTTATTTTTTTGAATAAAGACCAACAATTGAATTAAAAATTATTGAGGTTTGAATTTGCTATAGAATTTATTTTAGATTTGATTAGGATTTTTTTAGAATTTTCTTAAGGTTTGGTTAGAATTTTGATTAAATTTTAGTTAGGATTTGATTAGGATTTGATTAAATTTTTTAAAGGACTTTTGAAATTTTAATTAGGATTTGATTAAGGTTCAATTTCAATTTACTTAGGATTGCTTTAGGATTGGCTAAGATTTTGTTAGAATGTTTTTTAGACTTCTTTATGATTTCTTTAGGGTTTTTTTAGGATTCTTTAAAAATTCTCATGATCTCTTTATGATTTCTTTAGGATTATTAGGTTTTTTAAGATTTAATTATGATTATTAAGAATTATTCAAGGTTTATTTGGAATTGATTAGATTGTAATTAAAAAATTTAATGATTTTATCAAGATCAATAAGAAATACTTAATATAATTGGAAGATTTTTTGGTTTATTCAAGATCAAATTCTTCTATAAAGAGATGCTTAGTAATTTTTCAGATTGATTTTTACATAATAAGACAAGAAACAAGTGAGGGAGCTCATAAAAATAATTTTTAAAATTGCTCAATATCCATTCATGGATGAATAAAAGAAGTTACTGTAATATAAGATTAACATCTATTCTCCTTTGGCTTCTTAATTTGCTTTTACAAATTTTATATATTTATTCTCTTTGCATGATGCCTACACTTAACATTGGATCCAATAGATTTTTTTTTTTAATGAATTGGTTGTTATTTGATGCCTTTTACAAGTTAGAGAATGCTTCTAATATGCAACTAAATTTTTTAGTTCAATACATTTTCTATAATATAGTGTATAAAAAATCTCTAATTTCAATGTCCATTTTAGGATGTGATTTGAAACTTTAAAATAACACTCTAAGCACATAATCCTAAATCCTCACATTCTTTAACTTGATTCTCTTTAGGATATTAATCTAATTAACCACTTTTTGCATTACCACGTTTACTACACAATTAGTGTTCTTATTCTTTACCAAGAAAGTGATTATTATTCAATTCATTTGCAACAACAAAGAAAAAATTCTTTACTATTAAGATCAAGTTAAAAAACACAAAAAATCAATAAATAATTGTAAAAAGATTCCAAGTTAAGTATAAGTAGGTTCACATGGTGTATTAGAAAGGGGTACATATGTAGAAGGTTGAATACATATCAAACATCTAGACAAAATATGAATAGAGGATATAGTGCAAGTAATCTTTACAATGTTAAAGTTGTAAAAATACTGGATGTTTTGTATAAGAATGTTAAGTAACAAACTTGATAATTTTTTTGAAAATGGATGTAATAAGATCAAAGAGATAAAAATAAGGATATAAGCAACAATAAAAGTTAAAAAGAAAATAAAGAAATGATAAGCATGTGGCCTTATTGTATTTTAAGATTGATTTTTTCAAAATTTGGAAGCCAATATTTATGTTATAAATAAAAAGAAAGTGTTTGTCTAATATAAAAATCACTAAAACATCATATACAAAAATATTGGCAAAAATTGGAAAAGGTGATGCAATTATTATTGATGATTTTGCTAAATGTGACACAAAAAGTACTCTTTATATTTTTAGTTGAATCTTGTTATGCTTTTAGTAGTAAAATGTTAATCAATGATAAAACAATAAAAAAATAAAAAAAACAAAGAAATGATAGTCTTTAATTGTAAGATTTTTTACTTATATTATTCATATTGATAATTTTCCATAAGCATATTTTGCTCATGTGTTAATTTCAGAAGAACAAACAGAATTCAAACCTCCTGCACCTATTTTGTATAACCAAAACTAGAAAGATCCTTGAAACATATCAAAATTTACTGTAATGTAAAAACAAGTTTAACAAACATAAGTTGTAACACACTATAATCATCTTTTTTGGTGGTTTTTAAAAGATTATTGAAAAGAAGTAATACCAATGGAGGTTGCTCTAATCAATTGAAAAAGATGTGGGACAATCAAATTGAGCCATTCAAGCAAGCAATTATAAAGAAACAATATTCTTTAATACTGGAAGAATTCAAAATAAAAATAAGTAAATAAATAAAAATTATACTAGGACCTATTTAAGGACATTTCTTCTTCCAAGTAAGAATATACTCAAAACAAAAGATAAATAAGTTTTTTGTTGTGTTAAAAAGCTGTCTTTGATTAAAATTTATATTCTGGTAAAAATAATAAAAGAGCTTTCAGTGGTCCACTCATTTTCACAAATACTTATTAAAAAATTACACCAAACATTCAACTTGGTAATTTAAGATCATTGTGAACATAAAAATTACCCAAGTCCGTTGAACACTTCTATCTGCAGAAACAATTGTTGACCTAAACACCCTGAAGGCAGTACCCAGCTTGTTGCACAAGCATTGTCATGTCCACAACACACAATCTACAAGAGAGTACGTACAAGATTCTGCAAAAATACTCTGCATTAGTTTGACTTAGTGTACAGATGCAAGGACATGATCCAACGTGAACTTGCCTGCGCTAAGCCCAACTACTTCGCCACTCGTCTTCGCTCTACCAGACCGTTTTCTGGAATTCCTAACCACTTCAACACCTTGAGCATTCAACACCAGATCGATTTCTCGAAAAAAATGTATCACGCATCTTAAACAAGGACCCTCCATTAGTGAAATACCTTTCATTACCATCTGCTTGGTAAAGATGTAATACTAACATTTAAACCGTGATTGCCCGCTCCAGGCTTTAGCAACTAAAGGTAAGTACATCATTTCCAGGCGTCAGCTCATCTTCTTTGGCACCTCTCAAACTTTTTCCACGTTAATATGATATGCAGGGCCGTGAGAAGGTTCTTGTCGACAACTGGCGCGACCCAATTCTTGATCAATACAAAATGATCCTGTATAAACAGGACAGGTAGAGCGTGTCATTTGCATGCTTCCTTGTCAGCAAATAGCAATCTGTAAGCTCTTAGAAACACCTAGAGGATTATGTAGCACTGTGTTTAATACATTATGGATAATAACATTAGTAACTACTATAAACGCTTCAATTAGACAGCAAAAGACAATTTGGCAGCAAACCCCTAATTTCAGGTTGAAGGTAGACGTACCAGCAGAGTCCGAAAGCTACTTCTGATCCAAAGAGACTAGATCATTTACTCGCCCTGAAAATAAAGCACTGGATTCAATAGAGCGAAATTTCCGTACACAGGATTACATTGGAGGAACTCAATCATTCTTGAAATAAAACGTATCAAATAAAATTAAAAGCAAAGTTGGAGGAAAGAAACAAAGAAAAGGCATCGAGGGTTGGAATCAGACTTGGGCGAGAATGAGCTCGGATGCCGCAACATTCTTCCGTGGTCTACCCTTTCCTCTTTTCTTGACGACAGGGTCGGAACCATTTGATAGAACCCCGTTCTGTGAGAGTCTTTCCCTACTTGAATCTTGAGATGACTTCCTTACATACTTTCTCTTCTGTTTCTCTTGTGACACCTGTGTATTCTGCTCCTCCTGATATACTAGGCCATTGTGTTGCGGCGACAAATCACCGTCATGTGGAGAACTCTCTGAAGAATTGGTCGACTCCGAATCGGTCTCTTTGGCTACAACCTTTCGGGGTCGCCGTCCTCGTCTTGATACATGCTTTCCTTTCAATATTTCGACGGCCTTGTCTATAGACAAATCCTCCATACTAACGCCCTGTGAAAGACGACATTAAGGATCTCTCACATCTCATGACTGTCGAATACAAATGACGTAATGCATCGCTATTTGAGGGGTTAAAACTGAAGATAAACGATCTCAACAGTGAGTGCAGTGCATTACATGAAATACTTACTAGTGGAACAGATGCAATAATTGCGCGATGCCGCAAAAAGAAACCAAACTTTCCAATGCTGACAATAATCGGCGTCCCTTCCGCAGGATGTTTCCCCTGTCAAACAAGTATCCAGTAAACAAGAAATTAAATGTCTACAGGAATTCTTACGCCAAGCCAGATGTTCGGTACGCCAACATATTTGCCACGTCAAGAGTACTTACCAACTCACGGGGATAGCTCAGTAACTCCAATGCTTTCTGTAAAGTCACTTCCTCTGATTTGACACCCTGTGAAAGCATGAAAACAAAACCAAACAAAAAACGAAAAGAATTTTCAATACAAATTCTATGTATATTGAAAGAAATGAGGAATTCGATGGATGTGACTCTTGAGGATAAAAACAACATAGACGACATCATGCCTTAGGTAATGTCGTTCGACGAGGTTTCTGCTTTTTAGAAGCTTCTCCAAGTTGCACATATGCTCCATACGGCCCCACCCTCATCAACACCTAAGAACAAAGTTCAAGGTCTTATTAAATAACTACATTGCACATTTCTTTTGATCAATTTTAATCATACCATCCTAACAAAAATATCATCGGTCGTACCCACACATGTAATCCAGCGTATCTCACTTAAATATTGACACAAGCAGGAACGTCGCACTTTCAAAAAAAAATACCTGCAATTGAGTAGCTGGATCCACACCAAGGACCTTGGCAGGACGTGCTATGTTAGACCACTGAGCAACTGGTGCGTCGGAATCTTCGTCATTACTAGACTCTTCTTCCTCGCCAGATATCATGCTAGCTTTGAAGCTGTATTGTAGAGACGGGCAAAAGATCATTACAATAACACAATCGAGTGTGCTTGTTCAAAAGCAAGAATAGCTCGTCGCGTGGTAAGCTTGAAGCAAGCACGTAATAAAATAGAAAAACAAACTATAGAGGTTTAAAAAACGTGTTTCAGAGCACAACCTTGGAGGTGAAAATCTAGAGTAAAATGAAATGTCTGCAAGGAACATCTAACTGTATTAAAGAGAAGCAACTGGCCAAGAAACATTTTGGAGACAATAAGAACAAAGATTTAATTAAGGTTTGAAAGAGATGCATACAGGCAATCAGGATAACGAGAGCATCCAAAAAAATAACCGGCTCCAAATCGACTCAGCTTTACAGAAACCTTTCCTTCCTTGCAGCTGACACGATTCCATTTCAAGGTACCACATTCACCAATCAGTGTTCGAAGGACAGCAAAGGGTAACATATTTTCTCAAAACATCTGATGCGGAAACGCTAATTACGATTGCAGTAGATACCCTTGAGGGAACTGAGTAGCAATCTCATTTATCTGCAAAATTGAAAGGTAATAAACAATATCGAACAGGCTTAAAAACCAGCTGTAGATTACCTTGGGCAGATCCTGTCCCCAGCTCCTGGACCTGTTGATGGAAAGAACTGTTTGGCAAGCACCTCTTCAAGCATCTCCACTACCTTCATATGAACATAAAAAAATAATGAAAAAATATTACAATGAAGTGTGACCAAAGGCATGATAGAAAGCCATATACTGGTAGAAAGTGCAGTGTCAAGAGATTAATAATATGAACAGAACCTTCTCAACAGGAACTTTCATAGCATCCAGAACGTTTCCATGAAATCCAGGCCAGAATTCACGCAACAAATCCTTCCAAAGTGCATTTCCTGCTGATACGTCATCGAGCTGTCCCACCAAAACCAATCCAGTTTGTGAGATTCCTCACAGTACAACATCAAATGGGAATTCAATGACTTTCGTTAAACGCACGAAATGACGACAGCTTGCAGACACAATGCCAATATCTCAACTTGAGCAGTTGGTTACTGAAAACAAACTTCATTCTAGCAGCACAGGTTGAGTAGTACAGGAGATCTTTCACGGCTATCTCACAAGATCAAAATTATCTAGAAAAGTCACTAGTAACATAAGTGACTATTCTGGCGTATCAAAAACATCACGTAGCAATCTAGATAAAGTAGATATACTAATCTGAATCAAATACACGCAAACCAGAGGGAATTCCGGTAAATTCTGAATTTCGTTTATACCTGTTAACAACTTTTACAAGTTGATCAAAATCATACCTGGCTCTCCATGTTGGCAGTGAAAGCTAAGTCCGAGAACTCTGGAAAATAATGCATTAGGAATGCAGAGACCTGCACACTTCATTTCATTAGTTGGAAGGTCTAAAAAAACGAGCTACAATGTTGTGAGTAAAAGAAAATATACAAAAATCTAGGAATTAATGTACTTGAGAATCAAAATTATTAAAAACACGTTGCATTTTGTTTCATTTAAAAAATAGAAAAAAGTTAGACATCACACTTTCATTGCTTACCATGCGCCCCCGTGTCTCAGGAAACATCCGACGTTTATCTATTCCCACATAGTTCCTCAGCTGTGCAACAAATCAGGCCGTACTTTTTAAAAAATAGCACATATTTCACTGGTGATGAGAGAATATCCTAAAAGGTATTTGAAGGTAGTTGAAGGTGCAACAAAAAAAAATCTTCAGCTATCAATGTTTTAAGAGACTTTTGTAAGCATTCAACTGAATTGAAAGGAACATGCATATTCTGTAATTATAATCACGGCTGCATAGGGAAACAATCTTTTCTGAAGGTGCAGATGAAACGTCGACTCAAGCGAGGTGCAACATCAGATGGCATGATCAGAGGACCTCCCATAAAACATGACGACATACTTATGGCAAACCTGTAAGACTTCAAGACCAGTCAAAAGAACAGTACCTGTAAAGTTCGTAGTGTAGGAGCATATGTTGATGGACGACCAATGCCAAGCTCTTCCAAACGCTTCACCTATACATTTTCGTGAAGGATAACCTCTTTAACCTCCCCAAATCAAGTTTATGAAACCTCAAAAAATTACACCAAGCGCATTCTCATGGATACATTTTCAACATGCCCTTTCCAGGTACCATGCACCCATTTATCTACAGCTTAACTTAAAATCTACATTGGCATACATAGATGAATTATTGTCTATGGCTCACTTACTAAGGTTCCTTCTGAGAACCGAGGTGGCGGCTCTGTGAAGTGTTGAGTTGGTCGAACTTCGGAAAGCATTAACGAATTCCCTGCCTTTCCTCCCACACAAAGTCTGTTAAATGACTACACTAGCACAATTTAACTTGATTGACTAAATTAATATCAAACAAATTCAATAAAAACGACTAAAATCCTTTACAGGTGTTCTATTTTGCCACCTCAAGTTGATCCAAATCTGAGATAGGTCCACTGGTGTCATCATCTTGAAATTTCTCTGTAAATTTTCCAAGTGCTTCCACGTCCTGTGCATTTAGAAAACCAACCCAAATGCTCCATATCGTTACCCCGTTGTCCAATCTAACAGAACGAAACCCAAAATCTGACAATACGAATCAAATGACCTCAACTAGCCCAATCACAAGAGCTGAAAATTTAGTACTCTGATACCCAAAACTTCAACTTTACAACAAAACGCCACACTTGCGGTGGATTAAGTTAAGGATTGTCTTATTGAGAGAAAATGAGTAAGAGCTTCTAACCTTGTAAACAACAAGAAATCCAGGAAATGAAATTGAGGAGCTACTAGCACGTAGCTGCATATTCTGATGATCATCCACTACATCAACAGAGACCTGTACATCACCCGATATGATTTTCTCTGTCAATGAAACCAACATAATGTGCTGCTAATCCTCCTGATTGGGCATGATAATAAAATTACAACGTCTACTATAACATACCTTGCAGACAGAAAAAGATACTTAAACCAACTATAGAGTATTAAAAACAAACATTTCGTGCAGCATTGCAAAACATCTAAGCAAAAAATTAGTATATTTGATACTCCGCTGACGCTCTTAAGCACAAGAAGCAAGATGAATTTGTTCAATCTTATGCACTAATGTACACACAACTAAAATAGACTCGATGCGACATAATCTGCAGCAATCAGACCTGGCGGGATACAGAAGGCTCGAGCTGGCACGCCACAGTGCGAGCCCATATGAGGGAATAAAGTTGCAAAGCATCCTCCTCCAAGACATTGGCTACAGATGCTGCACCCACAAGATAAATCTTCTTAAAGTTTTCATTTCAAGATCATCTAATTACGTGTAAACCTCTGGATACAAGGACCCCGTATTGAATGAGGATGAATAAGGCATGCTCCACAAATCTGAAGTGAAATACTTGGCATCTCTAATTCGACTAAAAAGGCCTTGTCGTAAAAAATAGATTTTCCATAGTTCACAATTCAAGTATTAGTAATAGTATTTTCATACCACGATAATGATTGATGTGATTCCAAACTCTTGTTGGTTACCGATAGACTTGAAGCTGTAACTAAATCTACTGAGGAAAATGTAGATACATAGGACAGAAAATAATATAAGCTTACACGGCAGGCGAAAGATATCAGTTGGTCGAATAGCCTCATGAGCTTCTTGTGCGTTCTTCACTTTAGATACGAACACTCGTTTTTCGGCGGGAACGTAATCTTCTCCATACCTGATACGATCCAGGAAGTGTCTCCAGCAAGTGTTAAAAAAACCAACACCAATCGGGTAGGAAAAAGACGGTCACAATCATTTCTAGGTAACATCAACTTCAACAGTATTTGAGCCATTATTTACAGAATTTGATGAAAACAAGCTTTGGCAAAAAAACAGAACTTACAGAAAACTGAAACGAATACAGATCTAAAATAGTAAGCTTGTAAGATACATACCTGGTGCCAATCAGTGACCTTATGCTCTCCAATGCATCTGGTGATATCTAATCTCAAATCCACGACGACTCCCTCGTAAATTAATGTTAAGAGACCACATAAATTTCTGGTGAAATAAATGTCCACGCAAGCATCACGTGCAAGTAAAAATAGATTCCTTGTGTGCAGACATTCTTGACAACACAACAAGGTTCAACGAACCTGAACACCATCGGTACGCATGTACGTAATGAGTCCTGTTTGCTCATCATTGTTGAGTTTCACACCTTCGTATAACTGTTGAGCTATCTGCGAACACGATCAGATTTAATCAACCAACTAATCTACACGATTTAGTTAAGAAGAAATAGAAAAGGGTGAGAGCAGAGACAAAGTATTACACTCAAACGTCATGGCACAATAGTGATCAAAGAAAGGTGCACCCCGTTCAAAAACATATCCAAGTCCAATTATTGGCGCATCAAGACTTTAAAATCTTACGCCATTTAATTGTATCCTTTCAGAACACAGCTTAGTAATCGAGTTCAACTATTTAAGCAAAGTGCTATATGCTATACCCTTATCAGCATCACAGGGTTCTGATTTTTGATCTAGAAGTTACGAGAGTAACAACAGTTATCCTCAAGTTCAAAGGTGTAAAGGTGAGCAGAGGTTTAGCGACTGAAGACGTCTTATTACCAGGCGTAAAACAAAGACGGAAAGAATAAAGCCAACAGGCATTTCCGTAACTAAAAGCGAACCTAGCAGAACGATTGCTACGGTCTAGGAAGCTTACAGACATAGTGCGAGTTGGCCCAAAACCCAGCTTAGCAGAAGCATCTTGTTGTAATGTGGAGGTAATGTAAGGGGCTACAGGGTTGCGACGAACAAGTCTCTTTTTCACACTTCCAACACGTAGCTTGGTTTCTGAAACCTTTTTGTAAGCAGAACTAGCATCCAACTCATTATTGAGAGAAAATTGGTCAAGTTTCTCTCCATTTAAATGAGTCAAGCGAGCAGACATTGTACTTCGAGCTCCATCTTTGCTCAATTGAGCTTCTACAGTCCAGTATTCTCTGGACTGGAATGCATCGATCTCCTGCTCTCTGTCACAGATTATACGGAGAGCAGCCGATTGCACACGTCCGGCAGACTTGCTGCCCGGCAGCTTGCGCCAGAGAACAGGGGACAGATTGAAGCCGATCAGATAGTCCAATGCCCGACGCGCAAGGTATGCATTAACCAATGTTTCGCTCACGTCTCTGGGAGACTCCATGGCCCTTGTCACTGCTGACTTTGTGATCTCATGAAATACCACCCGTTTCACTTCTATTCCTCTCTTCAACGCTCCCTCCATCTTCAACATTTCCAGCACATGCCAAGCAATCGCCTCGCCTTCCCTGTCCGGATCAGATGCCAGAACCAACACCTGTGCTCTAAATTCCCAAAACGCACACACGAACGAATGCAGACAGATACATCAATGCGAGCACATAGAACACCAAGTACAAAGCACACACAACATATCAAATTATGGAATCAAATTATGGCATTATCAAGACTAGTGTCCAACCCTTTCAAAGCAGATTTGATGGAATTGATGTGAGGACGCGCAGTGGTAGGGATCTCCCATAGCATGTTGAAGTCATCATCTGGCCGCACTGACCCTGCTCGAGCAGCAAGATCCCGCACATGACCATAGCTGGGCAATACAGCATACCTAGGGCCAAGGTATTTAGTGATCGTTTTAGCTTTGCTGGGTGATTCCACCACCACCACAGACTTCTTCACATCTTCTCTCGCAGCAGCTACTACACCTCTAGCTCTCTTTTCCTTCAACTCTCCACTGCCGATGCCCCAGCCGGGATTTCTGTCCACTGGCGTGGATACACCCCCGAACTGCCTGGAAGAACTTAAACCCTAAACCCTTCCAATTTATCAGCGCCACCAACACCAAAAGTCACCATCCTATCAATTTTTATTTTAATTGTTTCTAATTCCATCGTCATCGCCCGCATTTACAAGTTAAAAAGACCAATACCCCACCCGAATTTACAACCAGCACTATGAGGTATACCTTGTTGACCTCGAAACAATCACTCTTAACCCAACAAAATATTCCATAACTCAAAATCCCAACCTGCAGGTCGATATTCCAGAGCACCCTTCTCTCCAGGGAAATAAAGTAGTGATTCCCAGCTCTCGCGATACGGCGATTGGGAGCACAAAGCTCCCATATTGCGCCAGGCACGCCATACCGCCTGGTCGCAGCCATTATGGACGACACCACCCGCGATGCCCGTCTCATGGAACAAGTAGGTCCCCTGCTCCGAAATCAAATTCCCAAGCTGCAAACCTTCGACTCAAATTCCTCCCACTCCATCCACTCGCCCCAATTTATCAGCACTGCACTTCCGCATCCTTCTTCACGAATCTCACACTCACTCGTCCACATGCACCATCCTTGTCAGAAAAAAGACACTGACTGACGATGCAAAATACAGTCGGGGAGGAGATCGTCGGAAGTGAAGAGCCGAAAGAAGGTGACTGGGGATTGCTGATGCCCTCCCTCGGAGTTGGGCTTGAAGATCCGCTCGCTCGCTCGCTGCATCGACTCTCCCTCTCCAAAGCGGCAGCCCTTCAACCCTGGCTCTCTGGCTGGCGATGGCGGCCACGTAGACTGACTCTCGCGGCCCTTTGCAGCGGCACCTGGTCCGCGGTCTTAAGTATCGGCGTCTGTTTAGCGGTCTTGGGAATAGACCCGGCCAGCCGTCTAACCATAATGGGTTTTCAGAATTACGTCAGGGCTGGCTATGATGATACTACAATTAAGGGTGTGTTTGTTATTAAATAATTCAAAAAGGCGAAAGTGGTACTTTTCTTCCAAAAATGAACAGCAAACAAAGAAAATTTTAAAAAAAATTAAATTACATTAAATTTTTTGTTGGTTAAAGTAACAAATATGTATACAATATTAATTTGCATGCTAAGAATAATATATATATATATATATACATGCACAACACCCCCTCGTAATCTCATGATTAATTTAGTCTATCCTTCATCTTTGTACCCAATCTCTCTCCCCTATCTCTATTTGCCTATTCCTTCTCTCCAACCCCCTTCCCTATTTCTTGTCATCAATCCCTTGTCCCCCTCTTCCCCCCACCCCCTATTCTCATTCCCATTTTTTAGAAAATAATATACAACTTTTAAAGCAATTAATATTTCTCACTTGGAAAACTAATCCTAAACCTTAAGGCCTTTAGTCTTAGATTTTACACATAATGTGTATTTCAAGGATTTCTACATTTTAAATTTCAAATGTAAATTTTTAGATTCAACATGAATACAAAAAAAAATCAAGTAATTCAATTATAAGATATATTATCTTTTAATTGCAATTAGAAGACTACAATACAAAATCAATATTATTTTAGTCACAATTTAATTTTTATTTTTTTCAATAAAAAACAACTTTGTTTAAAGTTATTATTGTCATTTGCAATGATAAGGAATAGGAATATGGAACAAGCAAGTTGGAATGGGAAACAAGGACTAGGAAATGAAATAAAAGATGGACTAAATTAATTAAGAAATCCAAAAAAGTGTCAAATTAACAATATGGAAGAGTTGTTTTAGCAACCTGTAAATATATATATATATATATATATAGATATATGTTTCAAATTTCAAATTATGTCATTTAAAATTCATATAATTTAATTTTTAAATAATAATAAAAAATTATAAAAAATTATTTTGATTCTTTAAATAATATATCTATAATTGGAGATAAAAAATATTCTTTAGTAATATTATATTTATGAAAGAAATAAAATTATATAATATAAAATCTTAGGTTCATAATATAGGAAAAATGACACTCATATATATATATATATATATATATATATATATATATATTATAAATATATCTATGCTAAAAAGACTAAATAAATGATATTATAAAATTAAATTCAAATATTTGAAATTTTTATCTTAATTAGATAGTATATATAAAGGCAAGAATGAAGCCTTCTTCACTCTTGTCAATGCCTTTCTAGTTCTTAATCTTGTTTCAAAACATTTTAGTCTTCTTGTCTTTGATAGTAGGCATTTTAGTTTAATATTATACCATTCTTGAGTGATTTCCTAGACTTTTTGAGTGACATAAGAGTGTATAGATCTCTTAGTTCTCTAAGATTTATGTCTTTGATACTATAACAATAGTGCTAATTCATTTTTATTGTTTTTTTTTAGAAGTGAGTGGATTATCCCATTTCTATTGTTGTATCCTAGATAATCCATCTTTAAACTAATATTTGATTTTTTAACATTAGTTTTTTTCTTACAGAGATAAAATTATCCCTCTTTGTAAAATAGTTTATTTGATATTAGAGATTGTGGATTATTCTCTTTTAATTTGACTTATAAATTTGTTTGAATTGTCTATAGAAAGAAAAATTATGGATGCTACTTTTAGTAGAGGTAAGAATAGATTTACATCTATTGTAGATCTTCACAAGTTTGTTAGTATTTTTAAGGTAGAAATCTCATGTATTTCTAATATAAATCATAGAAGTATTATTTCTATGCTTATGAAATTTATTAAAAAAAATTATTGCTTAAGCTATTACATACAATAATTCGCTTTTTGAAAGACACTAAGAATAAAGAGTTGATTAGAGAGATATAAGTCAAGTCATAGTAACACCTTTTAAGTTTTTAAAAGCTTATTTATCTAAACCAAAGCCTATGTAAATTGACATAGTATGATTTAAATTTCTTATTGAACAAGAAAAGATGCAACGTCATTAAGAACGTTTATTCCTTTATTATGGAAAATCCAAATATATTAATCAACTATAACATAGTATAGATAAGATATTTGTATAGAAATAGATAATTAGAACCATGGAAGTTTTTAGAATTGGAATTAGGTTAATAGATTAAGTAGGACCTATTGTAGAACATTCTAGAAAGAGTTTAGGGTGATAGAATAAGGTATAAATAGGATTGGCCAAGGACTTTTGAAGCATCTTATCAAATATGGCTTCAAATCCTTTTTCTTGTAAAATTTGGTTTTGCATCTTTCTATTCAATTTTATTCTATTCTATTTTTGTTTGTTCAGTTTTGTCTTTAATATCCTATTTTAATTAATTCCATTTAGTTTTATTCAAGTCTATTTTGTCATATTTTGTAATGAGACTTTATGTTGCTATCGATTAGAAGAGTCTTGGACTTTTGAAATAAACTAGTCATGTTTCATAAATATTATCAAAAAAAATATCATAATTACAAAATAAAGAATATGGTTACTAAACAAGACAATGTATTGAAAAATAAGTTTTTCTAACTACAATAGAAATTTTGTAATTATAATCTTATATAATACCTAATAAAGGTCATATTCTTTCATCAAAATCCTTATATTATTTTATAGTAGAGGTTTTTTTTAGAATCAATAGAGTTATCAGGGACATGAATCTCGAAGAAAGAAAATCCCCGATACACTCTCGTATTACTAAAGAGAACTAAAAAGTCACCTAAAAGGTAATGTAATATTAACTAGAATGGCTATTGTCAAAAACAAGAAGACTAGAAAGTCTTGAAACAAGACTAAGGACTAGAACAACAATGATAAGAGTGAAGAAGACTTCACTCTTGCCTCTATATATACTCTAAACTAAGAGCTATGTGGTGATGTCTTATAAGACCTATAAAACATATTGACTTTGCTAGCCACATGTCTTAACTTGTAAGGCAAGTTATCTATGATTGTGCCATATAGTTAACTTATTCTACAAGCTACTATACAAAGTTAACTTGTTCCATAAGCTACTAGTATGTGGTTAATTTGTTAGTCAATTTTCCAACCTACAAACACATCTAAAGTCAAAATTGTATCTATAAAGCTTCTAAGAAGCTATTCTAAAAGATTTTATGAAATTAATCTATATTTATCTACTTCTATCTAATCATGTAAGTAATTATTGAGGTAAATGTATATAACAGTGGCATTATTCCTCCTTCTAGGGATGAGTTCCACGATGAGTGGTCTTATATGTTGAAGAAGTCTAAGATGCAGTAAATTGTATTTGCTACATATTCCAATCTTTGCTCTCTTTGAAGATGGTGATAGGTCCTCTTAGCCATCGATAGTGTCCCATACTATGGCAAGAAGACCACCCTGTTATTTGGTCATTGTTGAGGCCTTTATAACTTCTTTCAAATAAAACATTTGAAACATCATTTAGAGTTGTTCTTACATCTAATAAAATCACCAAATATCGGAGGTTTCTTCCAAGGTCGTGATACCAAATACATTATATCTTGTCATCTGTTCGAGGAAAGACATGTCATTCATATGGATCTTCATCTCGATTTTGTCATTTTGAAGGTTGTCACAATCACAATGTCTCATTTGGTAAGTCCGCAAATAAAAGCTCTTAAGTTGAATATACTTGTTGTTAGTTCTCCATTTCTTTAGCATCACAAATACATTGAAGCTACAAAAAAAGATAGAAGGTAGAATGTTATCTTCCTTTGAACTTATTTCTTTTACATCAAAGATTTGTTATTCTTCATCTTGGTTTTGATGGATGTTATTGATGAAAGACTTCAACTTTCTTTACTGCATTTACAAGATTCTTTGCTAGCTGCCATGTGCATTTGCTAATATCATATCCATGCCAATGAATAAGATATCCCAACCTATTTTGATGCCGCCTTGAATCTAAGACTTCTTCTACTTCGAATTCTTCATTATTATCCATTTCAATAAGAAGAGGTAGAATTTATCTTCTTATGTCAAGGACATGAATCTCAAAGAAAGAGAATCCTCAATACACTCTTCTATCACTGAAGAGAACTAGAAAGTCACTCAAAAGGTGATGTGATATTAACTAGAATGGCTATTGCCAAAAACAAGAAAGACTAAAAAATCTTGAAACAAGACTAAGACTAAGAAGGCATTGACAAGAGTGAAGAAGGCTTCATTCTTGCCTCTATATATACTATCTAACTAAGAGCTATATGGCGATGTCCTATAGGACCTCTAATATGTGTTGACTTTGCTAGCCACAAGTCTTATCTTACAAGGTAAGTTATCTATGTATGCACTACGTAGTTGGCTTGTTCTACAAGTTATTACACGGAGATAACTTGTTCTACAAGCTATCAATACATGATTAGCTTTTTGGCCAAGTTTCTAACCTATAAATACATCTAAAGTCAAAACCACGTCTATGAAGCTTTTAGGAAGCTTTTCTAGAAGTCTTTATGAAATTATTCTATATTTACCTACTTCTACTTAATCATATGAGTAATTATTGAGGTATATATATATATATATATATATATATATATATATATATATATATATATATATATATATATGTCCATGATATTACCTCCTTTCTGGGGACGAGTTCCACGAGAAGCGGTCTTCATATGTTGAGGAAGTCCAAGATGTAGCAAATTGTATTTGCTACATATTTCAATCTTTGTTCTCTTCGAAGATGGTTGATAGGTCTTTTCAACCATCTATAGTATTCTATATCAAGGCAAGAAGACCACCCTATTATTTTGTTATTTTTGAGGCCTTCATAGCTTCCTTCAAATAAAACATTTAGAACACCGTCATGA